AAAATTTTAAAAAATCTGACTTGTTATTTTTTTAAGTAATTATTTATCAGTGATAAGTGTCAATTTTACGGTATTTAGTAGAGTTTTTAATCAGAAATTTAGCAAATTTTATCACTTTGATTTATTTTTACTTCATTTCAAGTATAATTTTTGTCAAAGCTTCCTTGAACCTTAATCCACTTGATTTTAAAGAAATTTGCAAGGTTTTGGCACAGAAAAGAGCATTACGAAGCAAAATACTCAGGCTCGAGCACGCCCAGCCCGTGCACCTTAGCACGCCCGTGCTAAATATCGAGCAAATACCTCAGGCTAGAGCACGCCAGCTCCCCCCCGTGCATCTCCTAGGCCACGCCCACCGTCGCCTAAAACTAGAGACAAATCAAGTGGGAAGTCAGGGGCTAGCAATGCTGGCCTGTACTGGCAACGCCCAGATAGAAAAGAACCTCAGAAGATGTTCTCGCCTACGCCCACGCCATAGATAAGATATCTCGCGAGCACAGAGCCTCAAGCACGCTTAGTAGTGCTCACGCCCGTGCCACAAAGACTCCTCTGAGCGTGTTGCATAGTACGGCCCGTGCTCAACCATTCATAGTTCCAGACTTTAGCACGCCCTAGCCGTGCTATATGGCACGCCCGTGCTTTGAAGGTAGAACTGACTTGAACTAAAAATGCAAGCCAATCTTTTTCTCACATGGGCTCGCCTCAGATATTTTCCTAAACGTGCTACACAAGATCTAAACCTAATTAGGAAGAGAAAGAGTCCTAACTAAGAAGAAATCCAAGACCTAAACAGTCATGATCTCCTAAAGAAGATTTTGTACTTAATAAGGATTCTATTTCCTAAACGGAGTTTGTACTACATAAGGTTCTTATTTCTAAACGGAACGTAGATCTTTCCTCAGGAGGTCTATATAAAAAGAGGGGAGCTTTTTTCATTGTCGAAGATACTTCGAATTGGTAGTAATTTTCTACCATAATTCTCATCTCTAATCAAAAGATTTCAAGCATCCCCAAAAGAAAAGGATTCAAGGAAGCATCAACATAGCCTGTTGCCTAGTTTTTATCGTCGAAATAACTTATATAAAGATATACATTGTTCATTACCTAGAAGAAGATTTATTCAAGTATAAAACTAAGAGATTTAATTTCATTCTATGGTCTACTTAAACTCTTATACTAGGCGCCATCATTGATTTAATATATATTCCATTATAACCCATACATATAATTTGCTTTTGCACTTGTTCTTATAATAATTTATATAGATAAGGTTCGCAGGCAGAGTTTCTTCTCCTGGACTTGATTTATTTCATTATCACTGCACTATCGGGAGAAGCGATTTTTGATATGAAAAAGGTAATGAATTACTTGAGATAATAACTTTGGATTGCGGAAGCTATATGGTACTCAAATGGAAGGTTTTTCATAAGTTAATGACCTTAAAGGCTATGAATTCACAAATAACTAATAATGATTTAATCTATGTTCTGATTGCGTATTCGGAAGAAAGTAATTACTAGATTAAGAATAGCTAAACAAGTAACATGGCGACGGTTGTTTAGTGATTTTTAGGATTGTTTCTCTACTTGAAAACATTAAAATTGATTAAACAAACTAATAAATAAATTGGATACGAAATTAGGTGAAATCAATTCCCTAGTAATTATTTAATCCTCTGATTTCATCAAACCTACAATTTTAATAGTTTGGTCTTTTGTTATTTTCCAAATTTATTTCCTTCTAACATCTTTCGTATTGTCGACTTAACATAATAATAGGTTAATATATTTTGGTACTTGAATATAATCCCTGCTGGATACGATCTCTTTCCTCTATATTATTGTTGCGATTTCATACACTCTGCAAAATCTCTGTTAAATCAGATCAATTAACATCACATCCAGCAAATTAACCGGTAGTTGACCGACAATTGGTAAACTATTTTTTATGTTTTTTAAGTAACAAATTGAAACGTTTGGGACAATTAAAAATATGGGTTATATTTTAAAGGGACAACGGTCGCAAATTGAGTTAATTTTGAGGAATTTGAAAAAAAAAAAAAAAAAGAAAAAAGCTAATTTTGCAGCATCTTTATAATATTGGCCAAGTCAGGGATTAAAACTGAACATTCTTCCCATAAAAAAAAAAAAAAAAAAAGAAAAAAGCTCAATTTTGAGCATTTTATATATTGGGTCCAAGTTCAGGGGATAAACTGAACATTCTTCCATTATATAATTATTTTAGGAAAACTCAAATATTAAAAATTCATGACAACTATATTATTACCCATTACATACTAATTATACATTAGTTTTTTTTTTTATATAGTTTTTCAGGTAATAAATGTAAAAATAAATCAATTTTAAATTGTTGAATTAACATCTTATTGTATATAAATACTTTGAACAACTATTTAAAATCATGTGTCTTAATATCATAATATGTATTAATCTATTTTTCATGTTTAACATAGTGTTAATCTTTTTTTTTTTTTTCTCTTCTCAACTAGACAAGGAAGTTTAATTTCTCTTCTTCCAAACATCAAATCGAACCAAATAAATCACATCGCCATTAAAATTTTAGTTTGATTTGTATTTTTGATTATTTGGTTCGGTCTCAGTTTTTCAAATCACCACTTTTAATTTGGTTTGATTATTGCTTCAAATCGAACTAAACGGACCTACTAAGTTATAATCATGTTGAGATGATATTTTGTAAGGGGCACGCTAATGTTATTAACCCTATCCAAAAACTTCTACTCTTTCTCTCTTTTAATTTTTTAATCATTTTTAATAAACTTGGATCTGTTGATCTTATAATATATTTATTTTGGTTTTTTTTATTGTTTTTTTTCTCTCCGTATTTGAAGGTTTTTGTCCATTCTTTTGTGAGGGTTTATTCTAAATAAGAGTATAATATTTGATTTTATTTGGTTAGAAACCATTGATATTAATTTATATATATATGGATCTTCAATCAATGGAGTCATAGTGTGGCACGTTCCTCTATTTTGTAATATTTGATATTATAACTAATGAATTATATTTTTCAATATATATATTTATTTATTTGTTTGATTGATTAGATAAAATTTCGCAATTTTAACTTCAAAATTATAAATCTAATTGATCTTTTAATTCTTTTTAATTTTTTTCAAATCAAACCAAATCATTAATTTTTCAACAGCGTAATTATACATCAGTTTGTGGATAGCTTACGTGATTCATGAATACCCTTGGCTGCTTATTAGGATATTAGTTACTTAAAATAAGGGAAAATTACGATTTTATTCCCGTATTTTCCTAAAATGACTAGTTTTTTCTTATATTTTAAAAAATACACTACTTTTTCCTTGTGTATTAGCTTCAGTGAACTGTTATACCCTTATGTTCAAATTTTATACCTTTTTCGTCAAATAATTAATAAAAAGACAAGACCCTTGTTTTAAGAGGATTCCATCACTTACTCACCTAAAAATACAAGGCATAGTTAGTTTAATGATGAGTAGCTCTGAGCACATTACAATTGCTTTAGTAGCTATTTTTTCAATTTTCAGGGGCCTTTTACGTGGAAAAGAGGTTGAAATAAGAAGTGAGGAAGCACTGGAGACGTGATTAATCAGTGTTGCTCTTTTTAGTGATAGAGTTTTTTAGATCGGAGGGGAAACAATAGTCATAAAATAATTTACTTGCAGGACTGGATGTACGTGTTTCGAAGAGTTGGGTTCTCAGAGCCTTACCTAGAAACATACCCAAAAAGCATTTTTCTTCAATTCAAAACCTTATTAAATATCATCAATTAATTTAGAAAAATCACCACCAAATTGAGCTGTCATAATAAGTCAAGACTTAGGAAGCCTTTAGCCCAAAAATGGTTGATCCAAGCCCACAAAGTATGTAAATACCTAGGGCATTCTAGAATAATCCCACTCAAAGATATTTTATGAAATATCTACCTAACTCTAGAATGTTCCTTGTAATCTAGACCATCCATTTTTGTAAGCAAATCTTAGCCGTACATTAAGGAAGTGGAAATGCCTATAAATACCACCCCTCCTCTCATTTGTAAGAACCAAGCAAAAACCAATCCTGAGGAAGGAATAGCAAAAACCAATCCTATAATTCCTTTCGTGAAGCTTTGTGAAAATCAATATTATTATTTGGTGTTTTGTGTTAGTATTATTTTGGTTTCCTTGAGCTTTGTGAAAATTTGCTTCTTATTAATACAATATTATTTGGTGTTTTGTGTTAGTATTATTTTGGTTGCTTTTCCCATTATTATTTTTGATGTTATAAATTATTAATCAATCTTGGAATTTATTACTGCGCCGATATCCAACAAACCTTACCCACAAAAAGAGTTTAAAAAATTGATGCAATTCAATTCGAGTTCATGTGAATAAGCCAAAGTAAGATACAATCAAGTGAAATAAAATTACCAAATGGGTAAGGCTTTTTATGGAGGAAAGGAAGATAAGCCAAAAAGGGAAGAAAAGAAAATCTCAGGATTCTTGTCAAAATCCAAAAAATCCATAAGATTTTATGAAAATAATAATGAGTTTCGATTGATACTAAGGAAAAAAAGGCGAATCACAAAAAAACACAAACAATTTGCAGGGAAAGAAAGAAAAAGAAAAGGAGGAGGCGCTACAAAAATTTGAAGAGAAATTTATAATAGAAAGATGAATAAGAAAAGAGAAATTTCTCATGTAATTATAGGAAATTGTGGTACAAAAACTCTACATCTTACCTTTGACTCCCGTTTTTGTGGTTGACAAACAGCAAAATTGTTGAAAAATAGATGGGAAGGCATACCAGTTTGAGGGAGGCGAAATATAGGAAAAGAACAGTTTATTTTTTAAAATACAAGGATAAATTAATTATTTTAGATAAGATACAGAAATAAAATTATAACTTTTTTTTAAATAAAAAAAATAATAATAAAATAAAAATAATAATAATGATATGACCTTCCAGGTCGGAATCCTCTCTTCCATGCTAAAAAAAAAAAAAAAACAAAAAGATACCATTGTCAAAGGAACTAAGGAAGTACAGAAGATATTAATTAATCTCCACTTACAAAATATTTGAATGGAGATCGTTCTAATTCTGGGCATTAAAACCTTACAAGAAAAGTCTTTCTAGTGAGCTCAGCTCATAGAGTTTTTGAACATTTTGGAGTCTATCTTTTATGGTTACCCATCTGAACAAGTTATTTCTGTGAAGGGCAGAGATAGAGAAGAAGAAGAAGAAGAAAACGAAGACAGAAGAAAAAGATATGGGCTTGCATGTGAAGCCAAAACCTTCTTCCTTAGTGTTAGTTCGTTGCTGGTTGTGCCTCTGCTTCATTTTTCTCTCACTTGACAGTTCCAATGCTCAAAATGCTACTACGGACCCAGCTGAAGGTACCATTTCTTCTCCTTTTTTTTTTTTTTTAAAATTTTAATTAGTAGAATTCTTGTAATAATCTTAATTTTGTGAAGTATTTTGATGAAATAGACTATCTAAGTAATTTTTTTTCAACTGAAAGATTGCTTCTTCTGATAGATTAGTTTGACGGGTGGAAATGAATGGCTTCTGAAGGTGAATTGCTCTGTTGTGATGTTTAATTGCAATCATTTGTGATTCACAAAAGAAAAGAAAAAGCAAGTCTTGATTAGAAACCAGTTCATTTGCTTAAAACACTTGTCTTCTGTATTGTAAAATTCAAAAATAATCTTTACATTAAAGTGACGATGTACCCAACAAATTCTTCCTTGAATCTGAGAAAGGTTATTGGAAATTTTATTTTCAAAAGCCAATCAAAAATTTCAGCTCATATTTGGAACTATTAGTTTTGAAGATCAAAAACTGAGAGAGAGAGAGAGAGAGAGAGAGAGAGAGAGAGAGAGAGAGAGAGAGAGAGAGAGAGAGAGAGAGAGAGAGGAGAGAAGAGCAGAGAGAGAGAGAAAAAGAGAGAGAGAGAGAGAGAGAGAGAGAGAGAGAGAGAGAGAAAGAACAGTAGTGGTTGCCTGGTTGGTGAGATAGGACAAAGAGTTAGGGGTGTCTGGTTCATTGAACTGGGACCACTGGCTCAACGAATTGTTCAGACTGGAACTGAGACCTGAACCAGACCCTAAGGTTCTGGTTCTGTCTTGTAGTCTCAACAAGGGCCAGTTCCTGCACCAGTTTTGTTTGGCTTTTTTTCCTCATTTTGGGACCAGAACTGGTTTCAACCAGAAACAGTTGAATCCGGTTTTGATCCTAAAGACTTTGGGAAAGGACTAGAACCTGAATCAATTCCCTGGTTTTTGTCTGATTGGGTGTGTGCCTTTCCCAATCGGTTCTGGCACGGTTTTATTCTGAAGTATGCTGTTTGGCAGGCCTACTAAGAGCATCGAGACTTGCAAAGTTATGAAGGGATTTGGTTTTCGTACATTGATGAATATTAATTGGGTTAATTATGATTGAGAAAATAACTTTAGGTTTGTTTATAGTGTTATGCTAATGGAATTTTCCTACCCTTAAAATTTTACAATTAGCCTTTTAGAGCTCTAGTTGAGAGGTTTTAATTTTTTGAGCTTTTCTTCTGCTCCTTCTTAAGGAATCTTCTGGTTTTATTACTGCAGCTATTCTCTTGTAGTGCTAATTCCCTTGTTAATTAACTTTACATTGTGATTTTGTGTGTGTGGTGAGACAGTGGAGGCACTGAACTCAATATTCAAACAATGGGATATTGAATCAGTGCCATTGTGGAATATAAGTGGAGAGCCTTGTAGTGGATCTGCTATTGATGAGTCTGAGTTTGAAGCTCCTGATAACAATCCTGCTATCAGATGTGATTGTGGCTACAACAATGGTGCTACTTGCCACATAACCAGATTGTATGTCTCTCTTTCTCTCTTTTTGTAATATAAATACTGAACTTCTGGTCCAATAGCATGCATTTTGAAATATGCCATTCACTCTTCATTTTGGTAATTTGACCTTTCAGAAACTTTCTGAAATAACTCAAACATAAAATCAAGAAAAATCACTAGAGAGAGTCTGTCTATTTTAATGATAATTCCATATTTAACTGTTAACTTCTGTTTTTTCTAGAAAAATTTTATTAAGATACTCCCTTTGTCCCAAAAAATAAGTCGTTTTTGGTTTGTTATTTTGTCCCAAAATATAAGTGGTTTTGTGTATTTCAAGAAGTAATAAATGATGTTTTGCCAATGTAGCCCTTGTTTACACTAAATACAATAAATACTTCACAATCAATTATTGGTTTTGAGATAAAGGATAATTTGGTCAAATTACTCTTGAGTTTGTTATAATCTAGGAGAATTAATTGTTTTCTTAATCCTTGTGCAAAAATCTTAAACAACTTATATTTTGGGACAGAGGGAGTATCATTTATAAGAAAATTTCTTTATTTGTAGACCACTAATAAAGTCAGCCAAATCAAAGATTATTTGACAGCAAAAGCTTGAGCCAGAATTACTGGCCAACCTGGTTGAGCATCTTGGTTTTGGCCCACCAATAGCTAGCAATTCCACCAAATGCTGACCTGTGAGCCAAAAGTAGGGCCACCTCTTCATAAAATTAGTGAAATTTAATGTCCTATTGTTTATATGTTTAGAAAAATAGATTAACAGGATTTTTTTTTTTTCTAGATTATAGAGAAAACTAGTATTTAATTTTTTGGTTTAAAAAATTTCTTCCTTTTTTTTAATAATTGTTGAAAGAATATTTCGTATTTCTTTTATTGTGTGTTATATTTTCAATCTCTACACCACTATATATATAAACAAGATTGTTCCAATATAGGAAATAATCTAAATAGGAATAAACCTAATAATTCTAATAGGATAAACCTAAACTAGGAAGAAAATATTGATTTAATTAGAAGATTTCAACACTGCCCCCTCAGTTGAGTGCAGAATAGATATTACTATCTCATGCCAACTCTGCAAACTAAATGATGAATAGTTTCTATTCAAGACCTTTTGTGAAAATCGGGCCTAGTTGCTCTTTTTGAGAGGCCTATATAGGTAGACTTTATAAGGCCTTCTACTATCTTTCTCTTTTATAAGTGACGATCAATCTTATGTGTTTATTCGATCATGTTGGACTGGATTAGTTCATAATTACTGATGGCTGCTTAAACTATAAAACAAGGATATAATTGTTTGTTGTCAAGCCACAAAACAAGGATATATTTGTTGTTTCAACCAACTTTAACTCTCCCTTTAATTTGCGCAACCATAGGAGTTCACATATTCCCTGTGCCATAGCTCTATATTTTGTTTCTGCACTGGACCTTGCAACAATGGCCTGCTTCTTGCTTCTCCATGTGACAAGGTTTCCTCCAACAAAAACACAATATCCTGAGGTTGATCTTCCATCATCAAGGGAACTAGCCCAATCCGCATCTGTATAGCCTGTTATTGTCAAATAGCCATGTTTAGAAAATAAAAGTCCTCTACCAGGAGCTGATTTTAAATATCTTTAGAATTCGATGCACAGCTTCTAAGTGAGACTCCCGAGGATCATGCAAATCAAATGCATATAATGACTCACATAAAACTGATAGCATAGGCTAAATATCTGCTCTAGTATGGGCAAGGTAAATAACCCCCGACCCAAATCTCTGATTTCCCTGCCAACATCAATGAAACCTTCCCACTCCATAGCTGAGCTTATGATTGGCTTCATAGGTGATTCTGCACGTTTACATCCCAACATCAGTTTTCCCCTTTAAGGAGAACCAAGGATGTACTTTCTTTGAAAACTAAAAATCCCTTTTTCTAAATAAAAATCCCTTTTTCTAATCTAGCAACTTCTATCCCAAGGAAATATCTCAACTTTCCCAAATCCTTAATCTCAAACTCCCTAGCTAACAAATTTCTCGAGTCATTTCTTCTTCATTATTTCCAGTCATCACGATATCATCAAAATAAACAATAAGCAATGTGATCTTACCTTGATGATGTTTAATGAACAAAGTATGATCAGCATCGCTCTAAATGTAACCAAATGAAAGCATAGCTTTACTAAACCTTTCAAACCATGCCCTTGGTTATTGCTTTAGCCCATATAATGACTTCTTTAGCTTGCAAACTTTTCCTCTGGTCTTGTCATCATGAAATCCAGGAGGAATCTCCATATACACCTCTTCTTTCAAATCACCATGTAGAAAAACGTTTTTAACACCAAATTGATGTAATTCCCAGTCAAGATTGGCTGCACAAGACAATAAAATTCTGATTGTATTCATCTTGGCTACAGGGGTTTCCTGGTAAACAACTCCATAGGTCTGATTGAACCCTCTTGCTACCAATTTGGCCTTGTACCTCTCAATGGAACCATTTGCCTTATGTTTAACTGTGAACACCCATTTACATCCAATTGGCTTCTTTCCTGGCTTTCTTTTCCTGATGGAGGAGTTACAAGATCCCATGTTCGTTTTTTTTTGGCCAAAAGCTCTTCGTCTCTTCAACCATTGCAGCCTTCATTGTTGAGTCCTGTAATGCCTCTTGCAACTGCGGTATAAGAAACAGAAGAAACAGACAAAAAATAGGCGTCTATAAGGAAGGGGACAGAGGCATGTATAGGAGATGAAATGGGAGATGGGAATGGTTTAGTGCATGTTCTAACTCCTTTTCTAAGAGAAATAGGAATATCAAGGTCATTGTCAGAAGGCTGGAATCAAAGTTAGGATTAGAATCATCCAAGGAATTAAAGAAGACTCACCAAGTTTCTTGTTCGGGCTCGTATTTCAGAGCCTGAAATTGGAGAAGACGGTCGAAGTCAGAGGTTCTCATGCTCCATGGTTGTAATCTGTATTAGTCGCCGTGTGTAGGTTTTTCTAAATCAGGTCTCAATTCCAATCTTTCTAGAGGTTTTGGGGGTTTTCCTCTCCCTACTGTATTGTCTACAGGAAACTCCCCCTGGAAATGAATGTTCGATCCCATCACCTCTTCCATCCCTGAATATTTCTCCACCTGAAGAGGCTGATTGGGAAGGAAAATAAGATCGAATTCCCGAAATGTAAAACATCCATACTCAACAAAAATATTTTCCAAAAATATTTTCTAGAAGGAGGATGATAACACTTGTATCCTTTTTGAGTAGTAGAGTAACCAACAAACACACACTTCAAGGCTCTAGGATCTAATTTGCTCAGACCATTTTGATGAACAAAACAAACACAACCAAAGACTTTAGGAGGTACAATGTAAGAGTTTTTTCCTTGAAGAACTTCTAATGGAGTTTGAAAATTTAAAATACGAAGAGGCATACGATTGATAAGGTAAGCAGTGGTCAAAATAGCATCGCTTCAATATGGTTTGGGTAGATTCATAGTAAACATGAGAGACCTAGCTATTTCCAATAAATGCCTATTTTTCCTTTCGGCAACTCCATTTTGAGCACTAGTATTGACACAACTAGTTTGATGTATAATACCATTAGAATCTAAATAGGTACGAAAAACTGCATTCATGCATTCAGTACCATTATCAGTTCGTAGGATTTTAACATGCGCATCAAACTGAGTACAAATCATTTTATGGCAGTTCTGAAAACACGAAAAAACTTCATTTTTTGTTTTCATCAAATAAACCCAAGTCGATTTAGTGCAATAATCAATAAAGGTCACAAACCACCTATAGCCAGAAAGAGACATTTTTAGTAGGAACCCATACTTAGAATGAATAGTAGCAAAATGAATCAAGCTTTTATTATTAATTGGAGAATAAGAATGCCTGGTGTGTTTGGCAAGTTCACAAGCATCACATACTGATTAATCGAAATCACACTTAGGAAATAAAGTGGGAAATAAACGTCCTAAAACAGAAAAAGAGGGATGTCCTAATCTCCTATGCCATTGAATAACTTCATGGGAAGGATTTCTAGAAGTTGAAAGTTTCCTAACAAAACTTGACCGGTACCCTAATTTGAAAAACGAAACAACGTCATCCAATAGATAGAATCCATCGGCGCTCCGAGCACGCTTACCACTGCCAATCGTTCTCCGTGTTTCAGGTTCCATTTGAAATATACAATGAGTAGCATGGTAATAGGTACTTTGCAATTAAGCGTTCTTTTGTGATTTAGCTAACAGATAACAAATTAATAGGGAATCTAGGAACATGAAGAAACAGAGGAGAGTTTAATATTGGAAGTCCAGCTAATTAGAACCTTGTTGCCAGCAATTGGTACTAAGGAGCCCATTCCGCCAATGCGAATTTTTTCTGTGCCTTGATATATAGAATATGTGAGGAAATGTTTTTATAGAGCATTGTTGTTATGTTTATTTGCTCCTGAATTCTATAAACCCAAGAGGGTTTTGCAATTCTTTGCAAGGAAAGGTAAGAAAAGCATTACCTGAATTAACAAAAAATTAGAAAGCTATGCAAGTCTTGAGTTGATGAAGGAAATCAAGCTTGTTTGGACAACAATCGTTTCAGGGACTTTCAGGGACTGAATTTCCTTATTAGAAAAGCTACCAGTAGTAGATGTTTCCTCACATAAAGCTCCACCATCAGATATGTGTGCCTGCAGTCTAGAAGAACTGACCCGCTTTCCTCCACGCCCTTTAGATGGGCGTCCATGTAATTTCCAGCAGAACTCCTTAGTGTGCCTGTTCTTACCACAATAGTCACAAAACAATTGATCTCTGTCTGAAGAACCGTTCTTGGCAGCTTGTATATGTTCTCTTCTAGAATTAGCAATCAACCCTGCTTTATCAATTGTAGATCTGTGAACCATAGCTTTCCTCCAAGTCTCTTCTTGTTGTACAAATGAATATGCTTGTCGCAAGGATGGAAAAGGATCTCTTCCAAGAACTTGGACTCGAATCTGATTATACTCGTTGTTTTGGCTGGCCAGAAAATCATACACACGTTCTACTTCAATCAACTTTTGAACTTGAGTGGCATCATCAGTACATTTGGCTTGAAAGTCTTGGTAATAATCTAGTTCTTGCCATAACCCACTAAATTTAGCAAAATACTGACCGATAGTCAGATCTCCCTGCTTGTTTTCATGAACTTTCTATCGCAATTCATACCTCTGAGCATAGTTTCCAGTTTGCGAATACGTCTATGAAGCGGCATCCCATATCTTCTTAGCAATTCATACCTCTGAGCATAGTTTCCAGTTTGCGAATACGTCTATGAAGCGGCATCCCATATCTTCTTAGCTGTATCAAGAAGCAAATAGCCTCGGGATATAGTTGGCTGCATAGAATTTATTAACCAAGACATAATAAGAGAATTCTCAGATTTCCATTTGTTAAGCCTGTATTTGTCGAAACTGGTTTAGTTGCGCCACCATCAAGGTATCCTTGCAAACCTCTTGCTTCAATGAATAATAAACAATACCGAGACCAAGCCAGGTAGTTCGTTCCATCTACCTTCACCGGACTAATCTGCAGAGAGGGGCTCTCTGAGTGGAAACCCATATCTACCTTTTTTTCGTCACACATATTGTCAGAAAAAAAAATTTTAAGCGGCAGTGGCGAAGAACCAGCAGCGGTAGAAATAAACCAAAAAAGGAAAAAAATTGCAAAAAAGCAAAATTGGTGCTGAAGGACCAGCAACGGAAAATCACCAGATCAAATCGAGGCCGCCGGAGCAAGAAACATCGACGAAGCTTGCCGGAAATAGCCGCACGCGCCGGCGCGTGAAGAACGGCCAGAAGCTTCTGGAGGCGCGTGTGCACACGCACGTGATCGGACTGCGACGCGGCTTGGACGGACGGCCGATCGGCGGTCGCGCTTCTTTCTGAGCCGGGCGGTGATGATCAACTCCTACTCCGGTCGGTACTGTGTGTATGTCAGTCCACTCGGAAACCGAAACTGTCACCGAAAAAATTCATGGCAATGGCTTGATACCATGTTGAAAGAATATTTTGTATTTCTTTTATTGTGTGTTATATTTTCAATTTCTACACCACTATATATATACACAAGATTGTTCCAATATAGAAAATAATCTAGATAGGAATAAACCTAAACTAGGAAAGACAATAAACCTAAACTAGGAAAGACAATATTGACTTTAATTACAAAGATTTCAACAATAATTTTAATAAAATTTCAAGCTCATAAAAAAGAAAGGAAGATATGCATAGGCATACATCCAATTAGCATATTGCTCTAGCATGTTTAATTGAACCCTAATGGTTGTTGACCACAACAAAAATTTTCTAATTCATATTTAAGTATATATAGAAAAAAAAATAAAGTATTTATTGGCCCATTTATTTTTTATCTATCATGAACATTATTATTTTCCAATGTACACTTAAGGTTAGGAAATGATTTACAACTGTTGTTTTTAGTATAGCAACAAAATAACATAAAATAAATATGAATAATATCTGTAACGAGTAAGTTATTTCTGTGAACCAAATAGTTTTAACATGTAAAACTACTGATGATGGCATAACTTTGCATTTTACAATAATCGTAATCATAACTAGTGAGGAGCCAAGAATTGTGTTTATTTGCGACAATGTGGCCCTAACATTTATTTTTCATTTAAAAACATATTTTTCCCCTTAATTCAAGGATAAGATATAGAAAAAAATAATAAGAATCTTACGATTCATGACTTTTGCTTTACGGGTTAGGCACTTGACTATTGTGTTACTAATTCAGTTGCTAGTTGTTTTTTAAATTATAAAATGCATTTTCTTTTCTCTATTTGATGTTTGTTTCCTAAGTTTCCTTAATAGCTACATATGTAACAAATTAGTTCCTTCTATGAATTGCGAATTTTATTATTTAGAAAGAAATTATTATTATATGGGAGAGAGGAGTATAATCCTACATAATCTTATAACTTTTTGTTTTTAATTTTCTTTTTTCTTTCAATTATAAAAATAAACGTAAATTTCAAGGTGACTTTTTTCGCCATTTATGATTTGAAGACCTTATTATATGATTAAGGAAGTTAAACATTGTGAAAAAAATTGTTTCATATTTAGATGATAAAACTTTCATCATAAATCATATTTGAAGGCCGCAATGATTAAATATAAGTAGAGAGCAATTATTTATGCTTCATATATTTTATTAACGATCCTAGAATATTTTACAAATTAAACTCTTCAAAGAAATCAAACTTCACTTAAAAGTGACTATCAAAGTTGAAAACTAAAAACTAAGTAAAACGAAGAGTATACTAGAAATTTGGTGGGACATGTTATAAATTTAGTGAAAATACAATCTAAAATACACATAAATCTTAAATGATTTATTTGGATGGGTGCAGGAAGGTTTATTAAGGTAATGTAAGATACGACAAGGTAAGTTTTGTCATGGTAATAGGTTTGTTCGGCAAAATTAGTTGTTTTGTTAACTGTTAGTTGTTTTAGTAATGTTTAGCCATAGTAATTAAAGTCGCACTAAGGCGCAAAGGGCTGTTGGAGCCTAGGCGCTAGCCTCCAGGCGAAGGCACGCGCCTGAGTGAAGTGAGGCGCAAAAAAAAAAAAAAAAAAAAAGAATAAAATACATAAACCTGAAAAATATATTTTAAGATATCAATCAACATAAACCTGAAAAATATATTTTAAGATATCAATCAACAAAAAAAAAAAAAAGAGAAAAAGTTAGAAACATAGAAAGAAACACACATAAATCAGAAAAAAATGGGCACATGACAAGTTATATAAAAAAAAAAAAAAAGAGAAAAAGTAGAAAACATAGAAAGAAACACACATAAATCAGAAAAAAATGGCAACATGACAAGTTATATTTTAAGATATGGAGTCAAGACAGAAAAGAGTATAATGAAAAAAATGAAAAAAAGAAAAGAAATAGAAAGCAAATATAGGTAGAAAAATTGAAAGAGTTATATCTGTATGGAATGGGGCTAAAGACTAGATTGCAGAGGTAATTGCTAGTTGAAGTAGTAGAGGTTGGATCACAAAGTACATCACTAGTTTTTTGTTGCATTTTTTTTTTATATTGATTTATTTATTTTGTGTAAGCTGATGTTGGCTAGATAGCTTTATATTGAAAAAAGCCCTCGGTGACTTGTTCTATAAAAAAACAAAAAAATAGAAAGGCACGCCTTTCTCAAGCCTTAGGCACAACAGAGGTACAAAAAGGCACACGCCTCTTCCTAGAGGCGATAGCCTAAGTGAAGTCGCGCGCCTCAGGACTGTTGAGGCGCAAGCCCTTGAGCCTTCAGGCTCGCCTTTAATAACTATGCGTTTAGCTATTAGTTGTTTGAGTAGTTTTTCAAAAATGCTCAAAGCTAATCGTTACATGGGTTGACTTTTTATAAAACGCTACCTTAAAAGTTAATCGTTACATGAGTTGACTTTTTATAAAATGCTACCTTAACTTCTAAAAGCTAGTTCAAACGCTATGTTACCAAACACAACCAATGGAAGGTAATGATATTTTTTATGCTTGGAAGGAAGGTAAGATAAATGAAATTTAGTAAAATTATTATTTTTAGATATATAAATTTGTTAGAACTATATTTTTTATCAAACATTAATTTATAAATTTCTTCCTAACTTAAATTTTCAAGGAAATTAAATAAAAACTTTTACTAAGAAAAAAAAAATACAAAGGGGGGTGGTTTTTAATAGGTATTCATGGATAGTATGGGAAACTAAAAGTTTTAATTCTCCCTAACCTCCAATTTGGTGGGTTGAAAATTTTGGTTCTTTTTTGGGGTGGGCACTTGGTTGGTTGGTGTTTGAAATCTTCAAAAAAACTTCCCATTCCTTCAAACCCTTTTCCTAAAAACAAAGCATAAGAGTTACTTAAGCTTACTTTTCTTTACCTTCAAAAACCCCCAACAACGCTCCATCTAAACAAAGCATAAGAGTTCTTAAATATTTGATTGTTACTAACCTTGCTCACAAAATTGTGAGGTTGTTCCTAAGTTTATTTGAAATAATGTTAAAGTGCATTAGTCAAGCCAAACTTAATGGGTTTTATCTTGTTAGTTTTCAATTGGTGGTGAATCTCTCATTTGATTTTGGCCAACTATCTTCATCCTTATATTTTTCTGGTTTAATAGCTTAGTACATGTAAGAATGTCGTTAATTAAATTGAAATATTATTGGAAGTCTAATATATAATTGATTAATTGCTTATTCCTAGTGTATTAGACATCAAATAAAATTCTACCTGATCCCCTATTTTAATATCTTTTTATTATTCATTTGAAAAAGAAAAATATTTTCTTTGTTAATTCTTGTTTAATTAATTTGCAGGAGGGTGTATAATCTGAACAAACGAGGGGTGATTCCAGAAACACTTCTAGTTTTGAAACATCTAATTTTTCTGTGAGGATTCTTTCTGCATTTCATTTTGGTTATGCTTGTTGTACTATTTGTTAGCAAGAAGTGAAATTGGCAAGTTCAACTTTTTGGAGGAAATATATAAAATCTTCATGTTTAGTTGCAATGGAGTATAAAAGTCTTTGATGAAATTACTAAAATATTTTCAATATTCTTTCCTAAAATAATATTTATATTAGTAAGGTAGAGACATTGTTTTTAAGTGTGAATATGCAACATATTATTGTACTTTCAAATATACTTTCTAATTTAGTAAATGAACCAACAAAAAGTCATTGCATTTACTAAAAAGCAATTTGTGAACAAAAAAAAAAAAAAATGTCACCTATGGGCAGCATGTAACTACAGAAGAAATGGACATATTTGAATGGAATGGGACTTATCTTTTTCTTATTAAGAATGAATAAATTATAGAGGGTTGTTTTGGATTTGGTTATTTCAAATCTTAACTCTTAACTTGTGAGTTCACTGTTAGGGTAACCAAACTTCGGTTATTTGGGTTGGAAAATACTTGCCTACTCCTAGTGTATGGACCTACTCATATACCGAATTAATAGTTAATTGCCATTTAAAAAAATTGATGACACTCGTTATTGTTATTTTGCCACCCTCATTCCCTTCTCCCTTTCTCTCTTTTGCATAAGAGAACTCACTTTCAGTAAAATTGAGTGATATGGCTGCATATTGCACAATCCTTCTAAGCTTTACAGTTATATATATACACACGCACACAAACAAACACATGATTTTTTTTTTTTGAATCAATTTGGCAGGAAAATTGACAGAAATTACTTCACGGGTCCCTTGCCTGCATTTATTGGAAATTTAACATCATTAAAGACTCTGTAAGTATAGAAGCTCTTACAAGGACATTAGATGATCAACATTTTAAAGTTTGACATATATATCATATAAATAGGTATCTTATTCTACATTAGTTAACTTTGTCAATTTTTCTGACTTTTCTTATATATTGCTTAAATTAAATGTGATTTCTCAATAAGGTAAATAGTAAGGGATTGGAATATATATATTTTCTCCTTTTTTCTTCTATAAATAATATATTTAATGTTGGGTTGATGGATCCAACCCATATTTGAATTTGGTATAAAGAGGATATGATACTACCACAATTTCTATGACCGATGCTGGTGAGAAGGAGGATGTAATAGTTGTTTTAGTTGTATAGAATAATCTTGAACATGTTGAGCCAGGTGTAGAGTGGCTTGCAGACTCAGCAGCTTCGGTCATACTATTCCTGTGAAAGAGTTCTTCGCTGTGTACAAAGAGGGCGACTTTGGCGCTATAAAAATGGGAAATTCAAGCAAGTAAAATAGAAATTAGTGATGTGAAAATTAAAACTAATTTTGGCTATATAGTGACATTCAACGATGTAAGACATGTTCCAGGTTTGCATGATAATTTGCTCTCAACTTGTGCTAGATATTGTAGGTTTTTATAAAAATTTTATTGGTGGAGGACGGAAGCTCATTGAAGGGTGCCTAATGGTTGCAAGTAGAAAAGCTTGTGATCTTATATGCAAGCCTAATGCATAGGTACTCAAGAATGATTTGAACAAAACTTCTGTTGGTACAAGCAATGTGCTTTGGTGACATGTGGATGGTTCATATATAGTGTAAAAAACGGGGGAGTGAAAAATTTGATGGTAATAAAAAGTTAAGAGTTTTTTAGAAGGAAGCATCTTTCAAAGTTAGAATGCAGTGAAGTCAATGAATGACAACAAGGATTTTAAAGAAGAAAAATAAATGCATGGGAATTGCATCTTTTGTTGGGAAGATAATAGAAGACATAATGTTACGTGTTTTAAATGAAGAATTGAAGTAACCAACATCTCTCCATGGGTTAGAGGGGGGGGTGAAGAAATTGAAGTAACCACATCATCTCCATGGGTTTAGAAGGGGGGGGGGGGGGGGGGGGGGTTGTCGAGTTAATGGGTCCAACCCATATTTGAATTACTTTATGAAAAGAAATAGAAGAAGTAGAAAAAGAATTGCAAAGTCCAAAATGGACTTGAGTTTCTAGTTGGTTTGAATTGGGTTTTCATTAATGGGGTGAGAGTCATTAGGATGTGGATTTATTGGTCATTGACATGATAAATGGTATTGGATATAAAGGAGTGCTAATCTCCTTGTGTTTGTGTAGTTATGCAAAGTGTAGTGTGCATAAACGTGTGAAGGTTTTGTGTATAGTGGCTTGGCAAAATCACTAATGATAGAATTATTCTTGTTCATGGGTGAGGAAAAGAGCAAGTATTAGTAAGAGCATATTGGTGAAAGTGCAAGATATTAGAATTGCCGTAGAATGGAACAAATAAGTATTTCCTAGTTCCCTTTTCTTTTTTGGGCTCAACGAATATTTTAAATTGCTTTATAGTTCTTTCATTATTTTTTTTCCTTCAGGAAAACATGTTATCAGTTTCGTAAAATCTCAATATGTTGTATAATAAAGTCTATAAAATTTTGCATACAAAAAAAAAAAAAAAAAAAAAAAAACGAATTCTATAAAAGATATATTTTCATCAAATAAGTGTTCATATAGTACAGATCATAAAAAAAAAAAAAAAAAAAAAAAGAATTCTATAAAAGATATATTTTGCTCAAATAGTTTCATAAGTACAGATCATTAAAATTCAAGTCATCATTCATATTGTTGTGGTAAAGAATGTAATGCCCACTATAGGAAAAGTAGCAAGAATACTGTATTAATGCTTTATATGATCTCATGTTGGTTTTACATACTAGTCAAGTGGTAACTTCTTCTTCTTCTTCTTCTTCTTCTTCTTCTTCTTCTTCTTATTATTATTATTATTAATTTTTTACTGTTTTGGATCTCCAAGTGACTTTATTTTGTTTCATATGATTAGGTCAATTGCTCAAAATGCATTTTCTGGGACCATTCCAAAGGAACTTGGAAACCTTAAGGAGCTAACCTTATTGTAAGATTCACATTCTCTGCATTTAAGCCTCATAATTCATTGTGTTTAAAATAAATGAATTTGAAATTCATTTGATTTAATAAATTTCATAATAAGAATAATTTATAAATGAATTCTCGTGGTTGGTATATCTTAAGTATTAAATATAGAAGGCTTATGATTGTTGTAAATGTAAAAAACACTCACACTACATCTTCTATTATACGATTCTTATATAGCTATTACAATAATTAGAATAGGAAATAATCTTAGAGATAGGGTCAAAGGCTTGATTCTAGGATCAAATCACGATCCCCAAACCATGCTTCTTTCCTTAATTCTAACACTCCCCCTCAAGTTGAGTTGTCGGATCACTTGACACCCAACTTGCCAAGAACCTCATCAAAGACTCGTCCTGGTACAGCCTTTGTCAGAATGTCTGCCAGTTGCTCATTTGATCTCAAAAATGGAAGACTAATAATTCCTTCTTCGAGCTTCTTTTTGATGAAGTGTCTGTCAACTTCAACATGCTTAGTGCGATCATGTTGCACTGGATTCTCCGAAATGCTAATCGCGGCTCGATTATCACACATCAATTGACAAGTGCTTCGAATTGGAAAACCAATCTCTGCTAACAATTTCCCTAGCCACAATACTTCGGTCAATCCACGAGCTGTCTCTCTAAACTCGGCCTCAGCACTTAAGAGAGCCACTACCTTCTGTTTCTTACTTCTCCAAGTCACTAGATTGCCTCCAACCAGAGTAAAGTACCCTGATGTTGACCTCCTATCTACAAGATTTCCTGCCCAATTTGCATCAGTATGTCCCTGGATATGTAAGTGGCCATGCTTCTGAAATAACACTCCTTTCCCTAGTGAACCCTTCAAGTACCTTACAAATCGTAGAGTTGCCTCCATGTATTCCTTCTGAGGCTTATGCATGAATTGGCTAATGACTCCAACTGCATCAGCTATATCTGACCGAGTATGTGAAAGATATATCAATTTTCCCACCAGGTGTTGGTGTTGTTCTCTGTCAGCAGATTCTGCTCCATCGATCATCTGTAGCCCATAGTTCACAATCATAGGCTTCTCAGTTTGTCTGCAGTCCACTAAACCAGTCTCATCTAGTAGATCCAAAATGTATTTTCTCTGTGAAATGAAAATACCCCTTTTTGACCTTAGTACCTCAATCCCAAGAAAGTAATTCAGCCCTCCTAGGTCTTTCATCTCAAACTCCTGAAACAATTGATCTCTGAGCTTTTTAATTTCTATAGTCTCACTTCTGGTGATGATCATATCATCTACATATATGATTAGACATGTCACCAAATCTCCCCTCTTCTTCAAGAACAGGGTATGGTCGGAGTTACTCTGCCTATACCCGTACTTCTTCATAGCTATAGTGAATCTTCCAAACCATGCCCTCAGAGACTGTTTCAACCCATATAGCACCTTTTTTAATCTACAGACCTCATTCTTCTGGAAACTGTCTGAAAAACCTGGTGGAGCCTCCATATATACTTCCTCCTTGAGATCTCCATGGAGAAAGGGATTTTTTACATCAAACTAGTGTAACGGCCAATCCAGGTTTGCTGCCACGGAGAAGAGCACTCGAATTGTATCAAGCTTGGCTACCGGAGAGAAGGTCTCAGAATAATCAATCCCATATGTTTGAGTATAGCCCTTGACTACCAGTCGAGCCTTAAACCGCTCTACTGTCCCATCTGCTTTGTGTTTCACAGTATATACCCATCGGCACCCAACAGCCTTTTTCCTGTAGGCAACTGGCACTTTTCCCATGTCCCATTTCTTTTTAATGCATCCATTTCAATTTTCATAGATTGTCTCCATTTTTCAGTCTGCTGGGCCTCTTGTATTGTTCGGGGAATCTCTTCGGAATACAAGATTGTTTTGAATACCTTGGCTTTCTTTGATAGACTCCCCCTGACCAAATTGGTCATGAGATATCTTGATGCGCGTGGTTCATATTCTGGTTCATATCACTTCGATGGTATAACACAAGTACTCCTGGGGGGTAAGACATATTTCTCCTGTGTCTGCTATAATCACTTCTGGAACAACATTTTCGTTATAATATTCTACAGCGGAAGCAGATTCAAAATGTAATTCCGAATCAAAGATACTTACCTCAGGAATATTAGGCGAGGAGTCAGATTGAGGCTCACCTAGCTTAGTAGACTGTCCTGTGTTTTCAAGTACCGGCCCAGTGGTATCATCTACTATTTCTTGTGGGACACTGGTAGGCAAGCCTGGGTGTTGAAGGAATATTTCGAATTTCTTTTTATTGTGTGTTATATTTTCAATCTCTACACCACTATATATATACACAAGATTGTTCCAATATGGGAAGAAATCTAAATAGGAATAAACCTAAATTAGGAAAGACAATAAACTTAAACTAGGAAAGACAATATTGACTTTAATTACAAAGATTTCAACACTCCCCCTCAAGTTGGTGCATAGATATTACTCAGCATAGATATTACTCACTGCCCAACTTTGCAACCAAAGGATGAAACAGTTTGCTATTCAAAACCCTTCGGAAAACATCGACTAGTTGTCTCTATTGAAGCTATATAACGAGACCATTTATAAGGCAGAACTATCCTCTTCTATAAAAGTTGGCGATATCTCTATGTGCTTACGTGTCGAATCTAGACTGGATATTCATCGTAACTGATGTCTCTTACTATCACAAACAAGGATAATTTGTTGTGTCAACCCAACTTTAATCTCATTAATCTGCGCAAACATAAGGAGTTCACATATACTCCTTGTGCCAATAGCTTCTATATTCTTCTTCTGCACTGGACCTTGCAAACAACAAACTCTTCTTCGTCTTGCTCTCCATGTGAACAAGGTTTCCTCCAACAAAAACCACATAATCCTGAGGTTGATCTCCTCCTATCATCAAGAGAACCAGCCCAATCCGCATCTGTATAGCCTGTTATTGTCAAATGGCCATGTTTAGAAAATAAAAGTCCTCTACCAGGAGCTGGTTTTAAATATCTTAGAATCCGATGCACAGCTTCTAAGTGAGACTCCCGAGTGTCTTAATATCATACAGTTTTTAGGGTCTTCACTCTGATGTTCTGGATTTGCTTCTGTGGTATTGCTCTGTTTTGTGGGTTCAGATCTTTGTAGAACATAGCAAACTGTTTGGCAATATTCTTATGTCTGTTAGATTTTGTAGCATTGCCAGAGAAATATAGGCATTGAAATCACCCCTGACTTTGATTTAAAAAAAAAAAAAAAAAGGAAAAGGAAACAAAAACTTGATGTTTGCAGTGTGCAGATTTTTATCAGCTAGATTTGAACATCAGGTCTACCCAAACTCTTCCTTTCATCGCTCTAGTTATGAACCAAAGACAATCATTTGAAAATATTAAGCTGTAGCATTTATGTTTGAACTTCCTTTCGTGCTGGATAAATCACTTGAGGACTCTAATTGGCTGTCTAATTAAATTGAGTATTGCTCTTATTTTAAAATCCTTCCATTTGTGTTTCAACAATCATTACTCTTTTGGACATTTGCTATGGGTTTATACACATAGTATGTGTTATTGGTTTGAATGAGTCTTATGAAAATATCTTTTGTGGTAAACAGCTCTATTGGTGTAAATGATTTCACTGGAACACTCCCTCCAGAACTGGGTAATTTAGTCAAGCTTGAGCAAATGTAAATTCCAAACTCACACTTCTCTTCCTTTCTGTTTTTATATTCGTGTCTGCAAACATGTTAATATATAAATCATATGAAGTTAAGAACATCTGATTTGTGGATTTTATAGGTACATTAACAGTTGCGGATTAAGTGGTGAAATTCCCTCGACATTTGCCAACCTCAAAAGGCTGAGAATCATGTAAGGCAAAACCATTCTATGTATATCTTTGGCTGTTAGATTCTCATTTCTACATGGACACGCCTTTACTCTAACTTGTCAATATATTAGGTGGGCATTCGACAATCCTTTCACAGGCAAGATACCAGACTTCATTGGGAATTGGACTCAGCTTACAACATTGTAAGCTAAAATACTTCAAAATTTTCTCTATTTTTAAGGTTTTGTAAAGTCTATTTACATTTTGCAAATTCTACTTACAAGGAATAACTTCGTTTATTGATCCTCTAATTTTTCCTCAGGAGACTTCAGGGCAATTCTTTTGAAGGTCCAATTCCATCTACCTTTTCTAAATTGGTCTCATTGAGTTCTTTGTGAGTAATTTCTCTCTCTCAAATACACACATAAGTGCACATATTCATATGTATGCCTGCATCTAAAAGAAAACCAGTTTTAGTAACATGTGCACACATAACCATGCAGAAGAGTCAGTGATTTATCCAATGTGAGCTCTACGCTTGATTTTATCAAGAATATGAAGAACTTGACTGACTTGTAAGTTTATGATCTCTTACAACCTTTTCTTTGTGCACAAAGTCCTTATACCAACTGCTCATTTTTATTCAAAGGAATTTGAGGAATGCATTGATCACGGGTACGATCCCACCTAATATTGGAGAATTCCGAGTGTTGAAAACATTGTAAGTTATACATAATCTCAATTGCAAAAGCCGATCTTGAAATTACCCTATTTCTTTAGTTGTTTTTCTTCTCATTATTGTTGATCTGCCTTGCAGGGATTTAAGCTTCAACAACTTAACAGGAGAAATTCCAAGTGCTTTGTTCAGTATGAGCTCTCTTGAGTTCCTGTAAATATCAGTCAATCCATCATCTTTGTTGATTAAATCACTTGTGTTATAGGATTCTAAATCTATTTTAAGTCATATACTATTATTATTCACTTGACATTTTTTTCTTTTTTGTCCCGCACCATTATAAAATGGCCAGATTTCTTGGAAATAATAGTCTGTCTGGAGCCCTACCTAATGAGAAGAGTGGTATTCTTCAAACTATGTAAGTCTTTATGCCAAAGAAGATGCCATAGTGAATGTATTTTCATTTCCCTTTGCAGAAAACTGTAACATAGAGCAAACTGATGTGATATCATTTCTTTCCCTCCAATCTTCATCTCTTTCTAACTTGTTACCTTGTGCCTTTTCTTTTGCATATATGAATTTGTATTCTAAATATCTTTTCGTATTTGTGCCAGTTTGATCTTTTACATATGATCAGCAATATTGGTCTTTGATACTCAAAAATGTATAATTGGAAATCGATCCATAATGATGTATTGATGCAAATACATTTGCAGGAAATGTTGGCTGCAATTTTCTTGCTATTTGCTGGGATGTCATACTCCTAATATGTCCTTTAGAATTATGTTTATGGAGTTGCATACTATGCTTAGTTCTCTCCTAGATAGAAATATATTATGTTTATTTAGTTCTTTTGTGAAAGAGTCTGAAATAACAATTGGCTTTTGAAACTTTGATGTGCAATTTTTGGTTCTTCACCTTACATCAATGTCCATGCACATAATATTTCTCAGTAGATAGATTTCTTATTCTACCATTCTCGCGTGATAAAGCAAGACAACAATGCATACTTCGTGTCGGATTTAATTCACAAATTCAGAAGAAAAGTTATTTTGCAGATGATATGTTCAAGACTCATATTCTTATTTTCTTCTTTACAAATCAGAATGTAGAAATTAGAGGAAAGAATATGTTTTTATTTCTTTCAATTTGTGATATATTTTCAACCTCTACTCCACTATATATATAAAAAAATTGTTCCAATATAGGAAGTAATCTAAATAGGAATATCCCTAAACTAGGAAACACTAAATAGGAATATCCCTCAGTATAGGAAGTAATCTAAATAGGAATAAACCTAAACTAGGAAAGATAATATTTACTTTAATTACAAAGATTTCAACACTTCCCCTCAAGTTGGTGTAAAGATATTATTCATGCCCAAGTTGCAAACTAAAGGATGAAACAATTTGCTATTCAAACCCTTTGTGAAACATCGGCTAGTTGCTCTTTTGAAGCTATATAGGAGACATTTATAAGACCTTCAACCATCTTCTCTTTTATAAAGTGACGATCAATCTCTTTGTGCTTAGTTCAATCATGCTGGACTGGATTATTCATAATACTGATGGTTGCTTTACTATCACAAAACAAGGATATATTTATTGTTTCAACCAACTTTAATTCTTCTATTATTCTGCACAACCATAGGAGTTCACATATTCCCTATGCCATAGCTCTATATTCTGCTTCTGCACTGGACCTTGCAACAACAACCTGCTTCTTGCTTCTCCAAGTGACAAGGTTTCCTCTAACAAAAACACAATAACCTGAGGTTGATCTTCTGTCATCAAGGGAACAGCCCAATTAGCATCTGTATAGCCTGTTATTGTTAAATGGCCATGTTTAGAAAATAAAAGTCCTCTACTTGGAGCTGATTTTAAATATCTTAGAATCCGATGCACTACTTCTAAGTGAGACTCAGGAGGGTCATGCATGTACTGACTCACTAAAATTACAGCATAGGCAATATCTGGTTTAGTATGGGCAAGGTAAATCAATCTCCTGATCAGTCTCTGATACCTGCCAACATCAACTGAACTTTCCACTCCAGCTTGAAGCTTATGATTGGCTTCAATAGGTGATTCTGCAGGTTTTCATCCCAACATACCAGTTTCTTTAAGGAGAATCAAGGATATACTTTCCTGAGAAATAAAAATCCCTTTTTTCTGACCAGCAACTTTCTTATCCCAAGGAATATATTCTCAACTTTATCCAAATCCTTAATCTCAAAACTCCCTAGCTAACAAAATTCTCAAGTGAGTCATCAAGTGAGTCATTTCTTCTTCATTATTTCCAGTCATCACTATATCATCAACATAAACAATAAGCAATGTGATCTTACCTTCGTGATGTTTAATGAACAAAGTATGATCAGCATCGCTCTGGATATTCCCAAAAGAAAGCATAGCTTTACTAAACCTTTTGAACCATGCTCTTGGTGATTGTTTCAGCCCATATAATGACTCTTCAGCTTGCAAACTTTTCCTCTGGTTCTGCCATCATCAAATCCAGGAGGAACAAATCCAGGAGGAATCTCCATATACACCTCTTCTTTCAAATCACCATGTAGAAAAGCATTTTTAACATCAAATTGATGTAACTCCCACTCAAGATTGACTGCACAAGACAACAAAATTCTGATTGTGTTCATCTTGGCTACAGGGGCAAATGTTTCCTGATAATCTACACCATAGATCTGGCTGAATCCTCTGGCTACCAATCTAGCCTTGTACCTATCAGTTGAACCATCTGCCCTATGTTTAATTATAAACACCCATTTACATTCAACTGGCTTCTTTCCTGGTGGAGGAGTTACAAGATCCCAGGTCTCATTTTTTGCCAAAGCTCTCATCTCCTCAACCATTGCAGCCTTCCATTTTGAATCCGAATCCTGTAATTGCCTCTTGCAATCCTTCGGTATAGAAACAAAAGAAACAGGGACCAAAACAAGGGCTCTATAGGAAGGGGACAGAGCATTGTATGAGATGAAATGGGAGATAGGATGTTTAGTGCATGTTCTAACTCTTCTAAGAGCAATAGGAATATCAAGGTCATTATCAGAAGGACTGGACTCAAGATTAGGATCAGAATCATCAGGAATTAAAGAAGACTCACCAAGTTCTTGCTCTTCTGTATCTTAAGGGACCGAAATTGGAGAGGACGGTTGATCAGAGGTTTCATGCTCCATGGTTGTATCTGTATTAGTCCGCCGTGTGTAGGTTTTCAAATCAGGTCTATCCAATCTTCCAAGAGATTTGGGTGGTTGCTCTCTCTTACTATCTATGTCTACAGGAATCTCCTATCTATGTCTACAGGGAATCTCCCCCTGGAAAAGAAATGTCATCCATCACCTCTTACATCTGATATTTTATCTCCCCCTGAAGAGGTGACTGCCAAAGAAAAAATAAGATTCAAAACCCCGAAAGTACATCCATACTCACAAAGTATTTCCTGAAGAAGGATTGATAACACTTGTATCTCTTTTGAGGTAGTAGAGAACCAACAAACACCACACTTCAAGGCTCTAGGGATCTTAAATTTGCTAAGACCATTCTGATGAACAAAGCAAAACACATCCAAAGACTTTAGGGAGTACAATAGAGAGTTTTTTTCCTGAAAAACCTCTAATGGAGTTTTAAATTTCAAATACGAACGAGGCATACGATTTGATAAGGTAAGCAGCAAGTCCAAAATACAGCATCCCCCAAAATGGGTTTGGGAAGATTCATAGTGAACATAAGGGGACCTAGCTACTTCCAGTAAATGCCCTTATTTTTCCTTTCTGCCTACTCCATTTGCAGCACTTAGTATTGACACAACTAGATCCTGATGGATTAATACCATTAGAATCTATAATAGTACGAAAATCGGGCAATTCATGTACTTCAGTACCATTATCAGTTTCTTAGGATTTTAACATAGCGCAATTTCAAAACTGAGTACAAATCATTTATGAAAATTCTTGAAAACACGAAAAAAACTATATTTTTTTGTTTTCATCAAATTAAACCCAAGTCAAATCTAGTTGGCAACAAATCTCAATAAAGGTCACAAACCATCTATTAAAACCAAAAAAGAGAGACAGTTTTAGTAGGACCCAAACATCAAAATGAAATTAGTAGCAAAAGGAATCAAAGTTTTATTTTATTAATCGGAGGAAATAAGAAATGGCTTTGGTGTGGTTTGGGCAAGTCACAAGCATTCACATACTAATGAATTAAAATCACATTTAGCGGAACAAAGTGGGAAAATAAAGTTCCTAAAACAGAAAATAAGAGGGATGTCCTAATCTCCCTATAGCCATTGAATAACTTCATCGGAAAGGATTTCTAGAAGTCCTAACAAAGGGCTTGACTGGTACCCGGAATTTGAAAATCGACAAACGTTCATCCAAACAGATACATCCATCGCGCCAAGCTACCACTGCCAATCATTCTCCCCGTATTCAGTCCTGAAATATTACAAATGAGTCGTGGAGTAAACAGTAACTTTGCCAATTAAGTGCTTTTGTGATTAACGCTAACAGATAACAAATTAATAGGAATCTGGGGAACATGAAGAACATGGGAGAGTTTAATATTGAAGTACAGTCCAGTTAGAACCTGTGCCAGCAATTGGTACTAAGGAAGCCATCCGCAATTGCGAATTTTGTCTGGGCCTTGATAATTTTTAGAATATGTGAGGAAATGTTTTATAGAGGCCTGTTGTATGTTTATTTGGGCTCCTGTTATTTGCTCCTGAATCTATAACCCAAGAGGGTTTTGCAATTTTTGCAAGAAAGGTAAGGAAAGCATTACCTGAATTAACAAAATTGGAGGCCGCAGTTTGAGTTGAGGACTAATCAAGCTGTGACCATAATCGTTTCAGGGACTGAATCTCCTTATCAGAAAAGCTTTCAGCAGTAGATGGTTCCTCAGATAAAGTTCCACTATCAGATATGTGTGTCTGTGGTCTAGAAGAACTGATCCGCTTTCCTCCACGCCCTTTAGTTGGGCGTCCATGTAATTTCCAGCAGAACTCCTTAGTGTGCCTGTTCTTACCGCAATAAAAAAATTGATTCTATCTGAAGGAACTGTTCTTTTGCAGCCTGGATATGTTCTCTTACAGAATTTAGCCAATTCAACTCTGCTTTGTCAATGTAGATCTGTGAACCATAGCATTCCTTCTAGTTTCCTCCTCTTGATGTACAAATGAGTTATGCTTGTCGTAAGGGATGGAAAAGGATCTCGGTTTCCAAAGGAACTTGGACTCGAATTCTGATCCATACTCGTCTATTTTAGGCCAGCCAGAAAATCATTACACACGTTCTACTTCAATCAACTTCCAAACTTGAGTCGCATTTTCATCAGTACATCTTGCTTGAAAAGTCTTGATAATAATCTAGTTTCCTGCCATAAACCCACTAAGTTCCGCAAAAATAACTGAGCGATGGTCAGATCTTCCCTGCCTCTGGTTCAATGACTTTTCTGTCGCAAAATTCATACCTCTTGAGCATAGTTTCCCAAGTTTGTGAATACGGTCTGTGATAGCAGCATCCCATATCTTCTTAGCTGTATCAAGAAGCAAATATCCTTCGGGGAAATAGTTGGCTGCATAGGGAATTTATTAACCAAGACAATAATAAAGAGATTTTCGGATTTCCATTTGTTGTCAAAACCCGGATTTTTTTTTTTTTTTTTTTTTATCGAAACTGGATTTAAGTCCGCTCCACCATCAAGGTATCCATTGGCCAAACCTTCTTGCTTCAATAAATAATAAACAAGATCGCAGACCAAGCCCAGAGGTTTGTTCCATCTAAAAACTTCACTTGGACTAATCTGAAGTGAGGGACTTCTCTGAGTGAAAACTTATATCCACCTTCTTTCCGTCAACCCATCTGTCCAAAATTAAAAAAAAATTTCAAACAGAAGTGTGAAAGGAACCAGCAGTTGGCAGAAATAACACCGAAAAACGAAAAAAAAAATTTTGCCAAATGACAAAAACTGGTGCTAAAAGAAACAGTAGGGGAAAAATCGCCACAAACACAACAAGTCGAGCTCGTCGGAATAAGAAACATCGACGGAGCTCGCCGGAAACAGCCGCACGTGCCTGCGCGTGAAGAATGGCCGAAATCTTCTGGAGGCGCGTGTGCACACGCGCGTGATCGGACGGCGACGCGACTTGGACGGAGGGCCGATCGGCGGTCCCTCTTCCTTCTGAGCTGGGCGGTGACAGCCAACTCCCACTCCCGGCGGCACCGTGTGTATCTCAGCCCTATTTCAAACCGAAACCGTTGCCGAAAAATTTACGGCAATGGCTCTAATACCATGTAGAAATTAAAGGAAAGAATATGTTTTTATTTCTTTCAATTTGTGATATATTTTCAACCTCTACTCCACTATATACTACTTCCACTATATATGTTTACAAAAATTGTTTCATTATAAGGAAGTATTTCTAAAAATAGGAATATCCCTAAACTAAGAAACATTTAATCTTTACACTATATTAGGAATAAACCTAAACTAGGAAACACCAATATTTACTCTTAATCACAAAGATTCAACACAGAATTAATGAATATCTCATTGTTATTTCTTCAAGAGGAAAAATATCCCTAAACTAAGAAACATAATCTTTACACTAATTAGGAATAAACCTAAACTAGGAAACACAATATTTACTTTAATCACAAAGATTTCAACACAGAATTAATGAATATCTCATTGTTATTTCTTCAAGAGGAAATGGGGATTCTCTATTTTGGGCAACCAATCAATAATAGTCGGTAAATTATTTAACTTCTCATCCCTGTTAATTTGTTTTTTTGCAGTGATTTATCTTACAATCATCTTACAGGAAGATTTCCTTCATGGGTAAACTCAAATCTACAATTGTACGTCTCTGAGATCATGCCAATTTATTTACCGATCTTCATTTTATAGGTTTAGTGCTCTGCTTTTGAGCTTTATGATTGCAGTGCACATGGCATTTTTTCACTTATATCTTGTTTGTATTACAGCATGAAATATTTTGAATTGCTCTATTACGCCAGGGGAAAAAGAACAATGATGCATTCTACATTAGATAATATGGTGCACTAACACTTCTCTGATGTAAACCTGACAAAAATTAGTAGAACACAACCAATACAGGCATCATGTCCTAATTTTTAAAAGAATAATGGTATCTATGTGTCCATGTTGTATCAGTGTTGTGTCTCATATGGTTGTCTGTGCCTCATACCACTAAACAATTTATTTTTGTAAAGAAAAAATGTATTTTTGATTTTCTTACCTTTCTGATTCTCAACAAGCATTTATTGCACCCTTGAAGTTGCATTGAATAGAAAGAATAAAAAGAGATATATGTCATATTTTAACTTTGAACTTTGATATATTATTTTTATATTCTATTACGTAATGCGTGTACATTTGCTTGTATAGTACTATGGTAACTTGCTTATAACACCTTAGTTATTAGCTCGTATTTCTTGACAGGCTTGAAGTTAAATAAGATATGCATCATGTTTGTGGTCTTTGCATCTTTAGTATGTGTTACCATAGGCATGCATGAGTAACTGCTACATGGAATTTTGCAGGAACCTAGTGGCCAACAACTTTGTATTTGACAACTCAAATATAAGGTATTGATCCCACTATTCCGTTAATCTTCATCATAAGCTTCTGTGGTATCACTTATACGCTCGAACAAACTGTTTTTATATTTTTTAATCTAACTAGGGAATAACAAATATTTCATTGTGCAGCATTTTGCCAAGGTTGAACTGTTTGCAGAGAAACTTTCCTTGCTATAGGAATACTCCACGATGTAAGCTTCTTTATTCTATTATTTAGTTGCTTATAGAAATTTCAGTTATTTGGCTCTCAAGGCACTATAGAGTTATGTCAAGCTCCTATTAGCAATGGAAATATCAAAGGAAATAAATTATATAGCTTTCTGTGCAATAATTTTGTAGAATACTGAATTATAGGAAAAGATGTGCTATTTCTTTCTTCATATATCTGTCTTTGTTGGACAATTCTGTATATGTGAATTATACAGTTATCACAAGATGAAATAGAGGGGAAAACCAGGAATGTCAAAAAGACTTATACCGACCATCTTCATATAAACATTATGAACATATTGATTTTCTACCTGAAGTATAGATTAGAGTTAGGCTACCTGTTAGAAAAAATTTTTACAAGTAGATATTGGGTCAAATTGATTGCTTGTCCAGCTTGATCTTAAGGTACTCAGTTCATAGTAAAATTGTACTGTTTCCTGTGAAAGAGTGAAGGAGAGAGATTCCTATATTGTATATTTTTGAATTGGTTCTAGGTTTGTCACTAATGACCTTTGAGAAGTAATAGTTAATCGTGACAAATTGGCATGTAACCTAACGGCAATCTATCTTTTAATATGAATTGACTCTATGTATATAAGTTATGACTATTACTGATAATATATGCTTTTTGATTTTTTTTTTTTCTTTGCACTTTTTAACCAAACTTTTAATTCAACAAATTAAGCTACAGTCTTTTTCTTTAATAATGCTCCCATGGATTCCAAACTTTGTGTGAATTTTTGTTTGATCTATACTTCTATATTCAGTTGCATGAGGCATGCACTTATGCTGAGCTCTGAATTGATGTACTGTCATGAATGAGCAGGGTGGATAGTATTTAAGCTATATGATTGCAGCCTAATTGAAGCTATTTAACCCCCTAAAATTCTAGGATTTTTAAGCTGACAAAAAAAAAAAAAACGATCAAAGAGGTAAGAGAGATTGATGTGGATCCCAGACGATAGCTGAAATCCTATCCTGCTTGCTCAATCCTATTAGCATACAGATTCAGTAAAAGAGCCATATCTAGGCACAAGCTTCATCGAATAAGTTCTACCATACAATAATATTGCTACCAAGTGTAAAATACAAACAAATTCAATACAACTGAAAGGATTAATTGAACTTGAAAATTTGACCAGGTTGAGATTTATGGGACTATGGAGATGACCTGTGAAAGAGAATTCCGATCTTTTCTATCAAACTTAATTTACTTAGAATTCCAAATATTACAGTGTTTTTCAGAACAATATGCAAAAACATAATTGGTTGCTGATCAGTATAATCATGATTTTTTTTATAACAAGCTGTTTTGAAATGTATTGCCCATTTTGTAATGGGATTTGAGGCTACTGTTACATTATTTCCCATTTTGTTGCAAGTTGTTCTCCAGTTACCTTGAAATGGTAGACAAAATATGAGAAACAGCTTGTTGTTTTATAAAATGTTTCCTGATATCTCGTAAAGTTTATTATTTTTTTTTTCCGAAATTAAATTTTATTAATAATAAAGTATTGTTTATTGTTGTTTTGAGTGGTTCTGCTATTGGCCTTGAAAAAATCATGCAGCAGCTGTGATTCGGCAACAGATTTCTTACTGTTTATTTATTATATACATATATCACTTATTTTGAAATTTTAACTCATAACTCTGCTTCAGCCTACCATATTAGACCATATTTTTTTAGCAAAATAATAGATACATGTGAATAGTGATATTTGGATCAAATAATGCATGAAAAATTAGTAAAAAATACATACCTCTTTATTGGATGAGGATATAACTTTAGCCCATGATTGTATAGCTAATTGATAGTCAAAATTTAAGAAGTTCGCTAGAAGTACAAAAAGGGTCAAACGTTATTATAACCTAAAACAAGTGGAGGAAGGAATTTTAACTTGGGGAAGGAGAAAAAAAAGGAAGGAAAAAAAAAGATTCAAATCACGTGAAGCTATTAACAACAAATACTGTTTGGTTTTTATGGTAAAATTTACTCCAAAGCATGGACTGCTCATCAGCCCCAATAGTACTTCAAGTTCTAATTCGTCTAATTTCATGAGGTGTGGAAGTTTAACTTTCTTTTAACTCTTTTGAACTGGCATTATGTGTTCCCTGGTGTGTTGGGATAGCTTTGTTAATCAGGAACTAAAACAATATTTCATCATGAACTGTTATAGATGCAAATTTTGCAATCAAGTGTGGTGGCCCAGAGATGAGAGCTAATGGCATAGTTTATGAGGCTGAAAATTCATCCATGGGTGCAGCATCATTTGATGTAACCACTAGTGAAAAGTGGGCAGTCAGCATTACCGGCTTGTTTGCTGATAGACAGAATCCAACATATGTTGAAGACACATTGTCACAAGTGACCAGCACTAATACCCCAGATTTTTATCTGACTTCGAGGGTATCCCCTGGTTCAATTAGATACTATGGCCTAGGCCTTGAAAATGGGCCTTATACCATAAGCTTATTATTTGCAGAAACCTCATTGAAACATAGAAGTTCACAAATTTGGGAGAGTGTTGGTAGGCGTGTTTTTGACATCTATATTCAGGTAGATATGTTTTTGAACATCAATTTATACTATTTCTGACAGGAAGATTGCATGATTCGTGTATCTGATATGAAGCTTCTACAGTGGTAAACCATTCTTTCATATCTTCGTTGATTACAGGGAAGCCGTGAGTTGAAGGATTTTGACATATCAAAGGAGGCAGGTGGGGTTGAGATAGCAATTACAAGGGATTTTAATGCTACTGTTTCTGATAACCATCTCGAAATTCACTTGTTTTGGGCTGGTAAGGGGACATGCTGCACTCCCATACCGGGCAATTATGGACCAATTATTTCAGCTTTGAATGTTGTTCCAGGTAATACATATTGTTAATTAAGAAATTCAAAATCTGATTATTTTTCCTCACTTCTAATGGTAATTGTGTTTTCTGTACAAGGTTTTACACCAACTGTTAGCGGAAGACCACTGGGTACTCGGCAGAAGAGCAGGCAAGGATTGATCATTGGTATTTCTGTCTCTGCTGGAGTCATGATCTTCATTTTAATATTTGCAATTTTTTACATAAAAAGACGAGCAGACAGTATTGATGAGGAAGGTAAGAGCATTCAATAAAAAGTAACTTTTATAATTTTTCCAATGTTAGACCTTCTAGATGCTTTCTTGTGTTTAAACATAAACGAAACACTGAGTAATAATACATTGAAGTACTGCACCTTACAAGGAAATTTTATAAAGTAGATGTTGGAATTCTTCAAGAATTTTGATAATGGTCCCATAGTATCAAGGATGCAAATCATACAAAGACAATGTGATTAAATATAAGCTGTTGAACGTGAGTTGATCCTACTGAAACCTAGTTGATATTTTTTTTTTTTTTTAATTTTCTGAAAGGGAAAAACTTGAAGTATCTTTTCTTTTAATCCACCTTCAAGAACGTATTCTTAAAAATAATAGTCAGTGGACTTAAACCTTTGAATTCAAGATGTATCTATGAAATAGGTGAGCATAAAAGACAGTTCATCACGTGGATTGCAGATAGGAAAATCCAAAATACCATGTTACCCTGATCCATAAATGACTGAGTAAAAAAGAAAAGGAAATGAAATTATGGTTACGGAGCTGATAAATTTCTTTTGTTGTGCTTAAACTTTCAGTGCTTTCTGGATTAGGCCCTAGACCGAAGACTTTTAGTTACAGTGAATTGAGAATTGCCACAGAAGACTTTAGTCCCTCAAATCAGCTTGGAGAAGGGGGATATGGACCTGTATACAAGGTAACATTTACATCATGATCAATTGGTTGATATTTAACAATCTTAACTTTATAATTTACTGACTAGGAGGGGACATGTCCTGTTACTGATTGTTGGTGCTTTATAGGGTACACTTTCTGATGGCAGAACAGTAGCTGTTAAGCTACTTTCCCTTGCATCAAATCAGGGGAAGAGTGAATTCATAACGGAGATTGCTACCATTTCTGCAGTTCAACATCGGAACCTTGTGAAGTTGTATGGATGTTGCATTGAAGGAAATAGACGGCTCTTGGTATATGAATATCTTAAAAACAAGAGCGTAGATCAGGCAGTCTTTGGTATGAAGCTGTTGATTGAATAATGTAGAGATCACACACTTAGCAACTATAGGAATTGTATATTAACAAAGAATCATCATAGAGAAGTCTCTTATTTGGTGTTTTTCTTACTAAAGTAATGGTAGAAAAAAAAAAAAAAAAAAAAACTTAAAAACAAAAGAGGCGTAGATCAGGCAGTCTTTGGTATGAAGCTGTTGATTGAATAATGTAGATCACAGCCACTTTAGCAACTTTTATAGGAATTGTATATTAACAAAGAAATCATCATAGAGAAGTCTCTTATTTGGTGTTTTTCCTTACTAAAGTAATGGTAGAAAAAAAAAAAAAAAAAAAAAACAGAGGTTTTTGCATCTGAATCAGCTAGTTTAATAGAATTAGTTTATATAAATTAAAAAAAAAAAAAAAAAAAAAAAAAACAGAGTTTTTGCATCTGAATCAGCTAGTTTTAATAGAATTAGTTTATATATTAAGATTTCAGCTACCCATGCAGGAAAAACTGGCTTGCGACTTGACTGGCCAACCCGCTTTAATATATGCTTGGGAACTGCTAGAGGACTAGCCTATCTTCATGAGGAGTCAAGGCCAAGGATCATCCATAGAGATGTGAAGGCAAGTAACATTTTGCTTGATGCAGAACTCAGCCCCAAAATATCAGATTTTGGATTGGCAAAGCTGTTTGATGAAAAGGAAACCCACGTCAGCACTCGTGTCAAAGGAACCATGTAACTACTTTTTACCCTTTCCTTGGATGATTCTTAATTTGCTTGCTTAAATTTTTGCTGGAATGCATGTCGTACAGTAAGAATAGCCATTTATGAATTTGATAGAAAATATATTTAGTAATTTATGCACAATTAAAGAATAATTGGAACAACATGCAATTGGTATTTCCTTTTATTGAAATACACAGGAAGCCATTTCCCCTGAGGAAAAGAGAGAGAAAGAGAGAATAAACCTTTACCAAGAAATTTGATTTTCTTGCAGTGGTTACATGGCACCGGAGTATGCAATGCGTGGACATCTTACAGAGAAGGCTGATGTTTTTAGCTATGGAATTCTTGCTTTAGAAATCCTCAGCGGAATACCAAATTATGAAAACAACTTGGTTGAGGAAAAGATATACCTTCTTGGATGGGTAAAGAGAAATACATCATCATATTATTTTTCCTTTTTGTCTTTGCTTGGTGACTTTTTAAGAACTTATTTTCTTCACATGTTTCTAGGCTTGGTCTCTGCATGAAAATAATCAAAGTTTGGCATTGGTGGATCCAAGCTTAATGGGTTTTGATGAAAATGAAGCTCTTCGAGTTATACGAGTTGCCCTCTTATGCACTCAAGCGTCACCAACATTGCGGCCGACAATGTCACGTGTTGTGGCAATGCTTGCTGGGGACGTTGAAGTAAGTGCTGTTATGTCAAAACCAAGCTACTTGAGTGATTGGGATCCTCAGGATATACATTGTGGCTTCTCGTATGAAAATACTAGAACATTTACTAAATCTACGAGTAGTAGCAACCCAAAGAATGAAAGTGATCAGGACAATTCAATTAATCTTTGTCCAGGGATTGAATCAATATCTCCACCGAATTTCTCTGAAACAAATCTTAGTGATCTCATTGGGAAAGGAAGGTGAGTGGATTGCTGAAGGATAGACATGTACAGCTATAGCATCCAAACTAGTGGTTCTTTTTTTTTCTTGTGTTTTTGAAAGAACCAAATTTCAACTTCCCACGACCTTTTATTGTTTATGGTTCATGGCTCTTGTTGAAGCACAAGGACACTGACGAGTGGGGGAAGACTAGAGGAACATAAAGAGAATGAAAAGTAAAAAGGGGAGGAAATATAATTTTGAATTCTTGCTTTGTCGACTTTTGTTTTACATCAAGAAAGAGAATAAATTTATTTGTAAAGGAAAAATAGACAATGTTAGTTGAAAGTGTTCTTTATATCAGCATATGATAAGTGTACTCTTACAGTTGCAGACTGTAATTTTTATATAATTGTTTCACTTTTAAATATGCGAGTAGGATTTTCCCCATTGACGAACGGTTAGTTCTTATTTACCACTTAGCCCTTTTCCTATTGTTTATTTACATTGTTCCGCCTTGAAAGTTGTGTAAATGACTAAGAGACCCTTAATTGTCTACACTTTACTTATGTATTATTTGCAATGGGTCAATAGCCTTTCCAGAAAAATTAAATTAGAATTTCATTAATTGAAAACTATAGAATATAAATAAAGAATAATAATAATAAAAATCAATTTTACTGTTCACAGAACAGTGATTTGGCTTCCTCGCTCTGGAAAAATCATAATGTTACTGTTGTTGTCTTTTACTACAATGAGCCAATAGCCCAAAATCTTCAAAATATTATCTATAGAAGCTTTCTAATTATTTCAAATTAGCCAAGCATTACTCCCACCCCAACCTATCTATTATTATTTTCTGCAAACAATAATTTTATAATTTTATAATTTTTTGGTATACTATTCATTTATATATAATTATATAATGAATATAATTATGTTGTAAAAACAATAATTTTATAATTTTATAATTTTTTGGTATACTATTCATTTATATATAATTATATAATGAATATAATTATGTTGTAATTATATAATAATAATAATAATAATAATAATAAGCATAAAAAGTCATTTTAAAATTCTTAAACAGTCATTATTCTACAATAATTCAATTTTTTTTTTTCACTTAAAAAAATTTGCTTATGCTAAGAGTAACAAATTTATGAAAAATATTTGAAAGATAATTTATAAATTATTAAAAATTATATCACTTAGTACCTAGAATTTGAAAAATGTACAACCAAAAAGATAAGTTTTCCGTATATTCAATGAAACTCATTGTAAAAATGATGAAAAAGGTTATGAAAATGTGAATTTTTTATATACATAAAATATTTTTAATATTAAAAATAAAATAAACATGTAAGAGCATAAAATGAAATAAAAATATAAAATCTATGTAAAATAAATTTAAAGTTTTAATATCACTTTTTTTTCTCCTATTATTAATTAAAAAAAGATATTCAAAATAAATTTTATACTAATAAATAACATTTTTGAGAAAAAAGGAAATACAATTTTATATAAATAAATGCTATTTTTTATATAGAAGATTAATAAAAATAAAGTTAAAACAAATGAAAATATAGAAGAAGCCCTGCAACGAAGTGTATTTACTAATTATTCTAATTAGTGTATATGAAAATAATTTTATAGTAATTATTATTACTAGTGTATTTACTGAAAACTAAGAGATTATATAGAAATTACCTTTTTTATTAATTTTCTTTTTAGCAAAATTATTAAATTCTTATTTTAATATGAAAGTGATCTGTACACGTGAGAAAAAGCCACAAAAGCAATGAATAGAAGACAAAAAAAAAGTATCCGTTGCGTTGGGTCATGAAATCTTGAACGTTAAGCCTACCGTTAGAGATGCCATCAGGACACAAAATCTGAAACCTTCCAGATCATTCATGAGTAAAGTCCCTACCTCTCTCTCCCTTCCTCACTCTCTCTGTATATATATATATAAGTATACATATGCCCGTTTCTCCAACTCACTGCCGTGTTCGACCAATCTCTCTCTCTGTCTCTCTGTCTGAAAGAGCTTAATTAAATAGCAATCAGAAGCTTAATTAAAGATGGGAATGGTGGTTGTAATCTCTTTGCCTTTGATAATATTCTCTCTAATGCTGGGTTTCGGGTGCTATTTTCTGGGAAGAGCAAGAGGAAGACAAGATGTCCGTACGAATGCTCAAGTATACGGAGTACCCACTCCACCTCCGGGCACCGACGTTAATCCTCAACTCTCGCCTTTCTCTCCTCCTCATTCCAAACAAGACAATTTGGCCAATGTTTAATCAACTTAATTTTGTATTTTGATTATTTTATATTTTTCTTAAACATGTCAATTTAAGTTTCTAATTGTGGACTGCTCTCTTGCTGTATATTGGTTTGTCATATGAATTAAAAGGTATATGGAAATTTCAAATTTTATTTTGCTAGATCTTTTCTTGTGGTATATATATATAATAATATTTTTTTTTTTTTATATATAATAATATTTTTTTTTTTTTTTTTGTTAAATTAAATTACAAAAATCATAACAAAGGAAGTACAAAAACAAGATCACCAATATTTTTTTTTTTTTGTTTTGTTAAATTAAATACAAAATCATAAAAAGAAGTACAAACAAATTCACCAAAATGTTTTTAAAAAAACATACATTTTTTATTAAATTTAAGCAACGTTGGATTTAAAAAATCTTTAACAACTTGCTACTTATAAAACAGGTTATCAATAATAATATATCATATTAGTTATTATTTTATTTATTATCAAACACTAAAATAAATTTTTCAATAATAATAAAGATATTAATCCTTTTAATAAAAAATTAAAATTAAAAAATTTATTCAGTTTTCCTCTAAAATAAAATTAAAAAAAAATTCTTCCAAAAAGCTTAATTATCTAAACATTTTAAAATTATTGTGATACTCATAATTTAATTTTTAATTTTTATGATTATCTATTACTTCTGGTTCCAAAGCAATATCAAAAATTTTAAATTTTATAACTTTTACAAAATTTTGTTATTCATTTCGTAAAAAAAAAGATTTCAATCTGAGGTATAGTTTACTGAATTTTTTCACTTAGTATTCTGAGCTAAGTTGGGTGTATTGAGGAGATGGAGGTCTGATGGCCCAAACTTAGATACTTAGTTATGTTAAGTTTTTTCCGAATTATAATTATAGAAGAAAAGTTTTAGTAATAAAAAAATTCGTAAAAGTTACGATTCCAAATATAACTTGAATTCTTAATTTTAATCAAAATTAATTACAAAAATTCTATAACTTAAATTGATAAATTTCTACTAATATATTATTTATAACTTTTAATATCTTAAGTTCTAAACAATTTAAAAAATAATTTGTAAATTATTTTATTATATTCAAAATTTTTTCGTTTAGTGAATTTGGTTTTCAATTAGTATTAATTAGATTTTAATTCTAGTTCATATTTTTAGAACAAATTAATCATAAATTTTCATAGTTTTGGATATTATAGAAATAATATAAAAAAAAGTTTTGATATTAAATTAAGATAATCAAATATGGAAGGAACTAAAAAAGATTGCAACAACAAAAATAAAAACTAGTTTATAAATTGAAAAATTGAAACATAGTATAATTTAAACAATAAAACTAGTTCATAAATTGAAAAATTAAACATAGTATTATTTAAACAATAGATTTGTAATCTGTTAACCTATTATAACAAGTTTATTAACCATGTGTCAATGGATTAAGAAGTCTGTATGGTACAGAATTTAATCACTTCTCTATCGTAATAAAAGCCTTAAAAAAGAGTAATGCTAAATGGCTCAAATTGAGCGAGGCTCGATTACAATTTTTGAATATAAAACCCGACTATGTCCTTGACTTTTAAAATTTACTTTAATAGATAAGAATGAAATTTTAAATTTTAAAATTATTACCCTCCTACTCTAATAATGATAAAAGTAAGGCCACTAAAATTTCTCTCATCTCTCAGTTTCTCTCTCTTAGATTCCCATTTCCCCATTGCCGGACTGTTTTTGACCACAGTTCGGCAAGAGCAAGGTGGCAATCAGCCCCTCTCACGACACTAGCTCCGTTTTCGACCTCCTTCACATTGATCTGGTTCTCCCTTCATGCGATTCATAGCTTCTTTCCAATCCCGAATTTGTGAACTCCTATCTCGGGCCTTCCAGCCATCGCCAAGCACCGGACAACGCAGTGGAGGCCGGCCAACGATGATATGGTATTCGATTTTCCATTCAAAAAAAATAGTATGTTTGTTATAAGATGAGGGAGAGGGAAGGAATTGAGAGAGGAGAGAGAGTTTAGAATATATGTGTTGAACCCATTTTGCAAATTTTTAATTTTGGACTTCATACGTTGAATTTGGGCTTGGATGTTTAATTGATTGAGACTCAGTTGATATTACTTTATATAATTAATTATTTAATTAATTAAAAGAAAGAGATAAAGAAGACGTGATAAGCATTGAGCAAGCACTCCTCAAGCGATTGTTCACGTACAGGAAGATGAGACACCAAAAGAACTAATGGAAATGTGTGTCGGTGAATCCTTTTAGTAACTACATGTCAAGTTTATAAAAGGAGCAAGGAAGTCAACAAAAGTCCAACCAAATTCTCCGACGAATTCAACAAATCAAATTAAACTCTCTAACAAATCAAATTAACTACATGTTAACTTGCTATTGCAAGTAACTAAACCGAGACTGGTTATATTATTTATCCTTTTTTTATATTTTTTTCTCTCATAATTTTTCCTTTTTTTTTTTTTTTTTTTTTTTTACTGGTTATTATTATTTATCCTTTTTTTTATATTTTTTCTCTCCATAATTTCCTTTTTTTTTTTTTTTTTTTTTTTTTAAACTTTTTTTTTTTTTTTTTTTTTTTTAAACTATGAAGAGCTTTATTTTGAAGATAGAAATAAATCTTTACATATCAATAATTTTATATGAAATATTAATTGCACTATTTTACGTAAAAATAAATTATTAACATATTGGTCTTAATGCAAATATAGAATTCTAGAAAATACTTTTAAGCATAACAAATAATAATTTTAGATAGTTATTTTTATAGAAAATTACAAATGATTCTAATACCTTATTAGAATTTTCACAAATTTAAATTTTATAATTAATTTTGATATAATATATAATATGTATTATTTTAAAAAAATATAAATAAATTTTATAAATAAATTTGAGGGTTAAAAATTATAATTAATTTAGAAGTCACAAGATTATTATTTATTATGGTTCCATTTAATATAATTAGATTTTATAAAAGAAGAGAATTTTTTAAAAGTCCAAATATTAAAGTTATATAATTTAATTTTATTAATTAAAAAAATATCTTATTAAGAAGAATATGGGATATATATGATTATTAATTCAATTCATAAATTGATGAGTTATATAATTTAATTTTATTAATTAAAAAAATATCTTATTAAGAAGATAATGGGATATATATGATATAATTTCAATTGCATAAATGCATGATAAATGTTTTAACAATGACATGAATAAAATTTTATAATTATTTATTAAAATTTTAAAAATTTATTTTGGGTGAATAAAATTTGATATATTAGATAATTATTGTATCTTTAAAAATTTTATTTTTAATATAATTGTGTTGAAAAGAGTAATTTTTTTATTCATACAATTAAATAGTAAAATGTATATTTAATAATAAAAAATAAAAAATTTCCTATTTTTGATAACCTATATAATAGGTAATAAGTCATTAAATACATTTTGAATCTAATGGCTTATGTTTAACTACTTTAAATCTAATGGTAAAAATAGTTTTTGTATTAATACAGAATTTCTAAGATCTGTATGGTAGTTTCATCCATGTTTTTAAACTAATTTTGATTAAACAAGGTTAGTTATGGACCCATGAAAATTACTTTTTTATTTCAAAATCTAACTCAATTTTCATTTCTGGGTAATAAAAGTTCTCAACCTTAAATTTTTGGTGTAACAAGCAAAATATCTCGCAACCTTGTTGCGGGTTTACTATAGTTTCATCATTTCCTCAGTATTATTTTTAATAATTTAAAAAAAAAAAAATTTCTATAATAGTTTTCTTTTTACTCAAAAGTTTTATTTTATTAATATAAATTTTTACTATAAAAAAAATTGAATATGCAAAAAAAAAAAAAAAATCCAAATCATTCATTTATAAATATTTTAATTAAAGAAAAGGGATGCGGTCATTGGAAATGGATATTTACCATCGCATTATTGCAATCTCTAAGCATAATGTATAATATGTAACATTAATCTAAAATATTCTGATAAAAAAATGTAATAATTTATAGATGTGATACCAAATGCCACAGAAATATCCTGAATTTCTTCTAATTCATACCATTAATTGAACTTCTCTTTCCATCGGCAATGCAAGTATTGTTGAGTGTGTAGCTTCTTTTATCATTTATAATGTGATAATTTGCAATGGGAATTGCAACTTGATTTCTAATAGCTAGCTAATTAGCCTGCCACATCGAATTATTATTATTATATCATTATTTCTAAATTCAAATATTTGGTTCATGAAGTTTTATCGATCGAGCAATTCATTCACGTTTTAAATAGTAGGCTTCATTTGGATATTGAAAAAGTAAACAAATATATAAAACTCTTAAATTTTTTATATTATTTCAATGTTTGAATAATCTATTTACATGACTTTGTGATCATGGAGTAATGTGTTAAGACAATATATGTTGTTGTCTTCTGGAAAAATTAAAAGGTTTCTAAATATTGGATCGGAAGCTGCACTAAAGAAAAAAAATCAAATCCAGTAAAATTAAGAAATTCCACAACTTGTTAGACATATCTCTATGAGTCACTTTCTTTGATATTTTTATTCTTTAAATTAATAATGCAACTTTAAGCTGATAAGAAAAGATGAGTCTATATATGCAATTCCTGGACAACAAAAGAAAAGCCACCAAAAAGTATACTTACATATCTCACAAGTGAAATAATTTTATACATCATCACCATCGTACTCAGATCAATTTAATTTTTTAGCGATAACTATGTGGTACAACTACCATTTATAATTCAATATTCACTTTATAGTTTTAATTAAAAAAAATAATAAATAAACTTGGATTTTCTTTTGTTTCCAGTTAATTTTAAAAAATTCATATAATCAATTGCCAAAATTATACTAATTTTCTAAAATTGAAAAATGAACATAATTCACGTTTTTTTACAAAAAATTTATCCTAATAAAAATAGAAAAAAATAATTTTATCGACACAAATAAAGTAATTGATCTCTCACAAAATAATTCATTTAAATCTATTATAAAAAAACATCAAAAACCCGCTTAATGCATGGGTTTTACCTAGTACATATATAAAAGAGAGCAATTTGCTTTATATAAAAATCAAGTACAACTAGCACAAGCTAAGTGTAAGTAGCATAATTTGCTACTTTGCTGCATTATAAGAAAATAAAGTTTTACTGAAAAAAATACCAATAAAAATATTTTGTCGATATTTTTCTGACAAAATACCATCAAAATACCGACTAAATTCAAGTTATTGAAAATTAAAATTATAAAAAATTTTAAGACAAATTTTGTAGGTGTTTTGTTGCTAAATAGTGACAATGCAAATATGTCTGTATTTTTCTTAAATTACCGACAATATTTTTAATACCGTCAAAATATTGAAAAAACTTTTTATCAGTAATTTTGGAGATGAAAATAATTTTAGGGCTAATTTCTATCGCGCCAATTTTCTTTTTCCCCTCCATTTCTCTTGTCCCCGATTTTTCCAAAATAATTTTAGGAAGAAACAATGTACTTCCTCCCAATTGTGCCGGTAACTCATCTTCTCCTTCCTTTTTACGCTGTCAGAGTCTCACTCCTCCACAGTCTCGCTCTCGCTCTCGCTCTCCAACTCTGTCTCGAGCTCCAAAGGAAAGGTAACTTTCTTGCTCAATTTTTAATTACAAAAGAATTTGTGTAATTGTGATTTCATCTACTCTGTTATGTTTAAACTGATGATGGCTATATTGTTAGTAAGCTATATTGTTTGTTTAATTTGTTTTTCAATTTCCTAATAAGTTGTGCAATTGAATCTTATGTTGTTTTTTTATTCCTTCCTGCAACGCTAATGGCAATATGTTTACTTGTTTTCTGTAATAAGAAAACTGGCAAGGAAGTTTCCAAGTGCAAGAGTTTAAATGCTTAATATGTGGTGTTGGTTGCATATATGCAGAAGCTATCAATCAGTTTTATTCCGAATTGTTTTGCATACTTAACTGTTATTTGAAGTGCTATTTGAAACATTTGTGGAGTTCCTTCTTGAGTTCGTGTAAGGGTTATGGTGATGTCGATATTGGGAGGGAGGTTGCAAATGTGGCGTTTTTCAAGATATAAAACCTTATATTGGTCCCTTGAGCTTATTTTTAATAATATGATCTAAAAATGATGACTGCAAATGACAGGCTGCATTAGCATTGACAATTGAGCAAATTATCACTTGATTAGTTATAAGACTCAGCATGGTAAAATCAGGTAACTATTGAGAAATGAATTTGTTCAAACCACGTTTTAGACAACTCAGTTTGCAAATTAGCTTCATAAAAAACTGAAGGACAATTACAAGTCTACAGAAATAAAATATATTATTACTGCAATTCTTGTTCAAAGTGTATACTTATATATGATGCAATGGCATACTAGATCAGTTTAGGATTGATATTATATGCTTTACTTTAAAACCTTACTAGATCAGTTTTTTTCCTTATAGGTGAATTCCATTATGCCCCTTTAAATTGGCAGCATGATATATAAGTCCTTTTTATTTTTTGTCAATTAGACCTCTGAATTTTTGTTTTTAGTCAATTCAGTTCTTAGCTACACAATGGCAGTGGGTGTTAGAGGCTCTTATATAATTATGTTTTTATAACTAAGACAGGACCATGAGAACATGATATCGCAGTAAAATTATTTCTCAATTGTCTTGTTCTTGGAGTTAGTACCTGCAACTGCAAGTGGGTATCATTTTGTCTCGAGTCCTTTAATTGGGAATTCAATTGATAAAAAAAAGAATTTAAGGTCGAATTAGTCTAAATTTAAATGAGTTATGACTTACCAATATTAATTCTGTTAGTTTAAGATTGTGCCTCTATTGCTTCTGAGATTTTTGGAACTTATTTTCAGTATGTTAAGCAGTCTCAAAATCCACAGCACATGAAACTATTCTAATCCCTAGATTCTTTGTGTCAAAATCCACAGCTTTTGATGCAACTATCATGTATATGACATGATGATAGTTTGCTATTAAGATTTTGACACTGGATTCATTCTAGTAAAGGACTATTTAGTTGGACAATTAAGATTTTGTAATAAATGGAAAGGGTCAATTCTGTATATCAGAAAGATGATTTGGCCACAAATAGATGCCATAAAAAATGACTACACATGTATGGTTGGACTCTCTCTCTCTCTCTCTCTCTCTCTCTCTCTTAGAAAAGATGATTTGGCCACAATAGAATGCCATAAAAATGAACTACACATGTATGGTTGGACTCTCTCTCTCCTTCTCTCCTCTCTCTCTCTCTTTATATAATATATATAATATATATATATATATATATATGTATGTATGATTTTTATTTAATTATAATTAAATAAATATACTATTATTAATAGTAATAATGTAGGTCTCCATTTTATTGATGTTAGCCACGAAGGGAACATCTTTTTGTCCTTATACTTTCTTTCCCATATCTCTTTTCCAACATTAATTTAAAAAATGTATGATTTTATTTATTATAATTAAATAATATACTATTATTATAGTATAATGTAGGTCTCCATTTATATGATGTAGCCACGAAGGGAACATCTTTTGTCCTTATACTTCTTCTCCCATATCTCTTGTCCACATTAATTTAAAAAATGTACTAATAATTTAATTGGAAAATGACCTCTAAAACACTTAAGCTGAGTATTTTTTTTAATGAAATCATCAATTACTCCCAAAATTAATTAAGTATTTTTTGATTTGTTCTTCGATAAAGTTGATTATTAAATGAGAATATGCAAAAAGTTGTACATTAGGAGAAATATCTCTCGTCTGCATTTATTAAATTGAAGTTTCCTTTTCAATTGGCTATGTTTTGATCATGTTTAGTTGAAATTTGGATATAAACATGCCTTTCTTGCTTGCGCTTTCACACTTTGTCTAGAGACAAATGGTTACTTACACATATATTCTTTACATATAGAAAGTGGAAATTTTGTTATTGAATTATACAATGTTATAATTGCAATTGAGATTTTAAATATATTTATAGATGGAGCTATAAGGTTTAAATTTCCTTTTTTTTTTCAATAATTTGATATTAATTTTATGCTCTATATTTGAAATCATGACTAAGGATATTCTCCCCCACCCTTTTTAAGGGTTGGATAAAAAACTAATCTTTTTTCAGGTTGGGCAACAATCACATTTAAAATTCTTACTAATATACTAATTCTATATTTGATCTTACGACTAAATACAATATGATTCAAAGTCAATCTCTGCTATAAATTCACAAGATTATCCTTCTTACTTTCAGGATTTCCTCAAATAAATATTTGTAGCAGAAGAATCAAATTCGTGAGCTTACAACTGGTAAGTTATGCTCTTCCTTTTTTTTTTTCTTGTAAGAAGTCTGTCTGTTCTTTACTATCAAATATCTACTTTAACTTACTTTGATGAGTTTGGAAATGGATGGCTAGAACTTCATCCCTTTTTGACTTGTTTTTTTTTTTACTTGTGTTACAGAATTGCATTTCTAGTTATAGCTGAAAATAATTAACAATGAGGCCTTCATTTAATAATAAGAAAATAATTAAATTGGATTTCTTATGATTTTATTTTGAGTGATAACTTAGACACTTTTAAAATGCTTACGTGGATCTTCTTAATTATTTATCGCTTAGGAATGGATACAGATCGACTATGAATGTAGCAACGGCTTGAGGATGGTTTCTTAAGACCTCAATTCGCAGATGGAGTAAATGATTTTGTTGAATTTGCACTGTTACGTCCTACATATATGGATGGTGATAAGTTGCGATGTCCTTGCAATAACATTAAATGTAGAAATTATGACTTCTTGGATATCGAGACCGTGCAGTTCTACCTGTTTAAATATGGATTTCTACCAAATTATTATTTATAGTATTTACATGGGGAACCCGTGAATGGGTCAAGCTTTGGAAACCATGAGGTAGAAGAATATGCCAATCCAAGATGTGAAATGGATTCTGAAATAGGAAAGCGGTATTGTGAGATGGTTATGGATGCAATGGGGATGCATGGGATGATAGATGATATGGAGGAAACACAAAATCAAAATGCACAACAACTGTTTGACATGTTAAATATGTCAAATCAAGATTTATGGCTAGGTTGTAAGAAGCATTCTCAGTTTTCTGCTGTTGCGAGAATTTTGTACCTAAAGTCGAAGCTTAATTTCTCTGAAAGATGTTTCGATGGATTGCTTGAGTTTCTACATGAGGTGCTTTCAAAAGAAAATGCCATGCTAGACACTTTTTACAATACAAAAAGGTTGGTTTGGGGACTAAGTCTTCTAGTTGAGAAGATCGATTGTTGTAAAAACAATTTTATGATATTTTAGCATGAGGACAATGATGTGCTTGTTTTTAAGTTTTGTCATCACCCTAGATACAAACAGAGGACAAATGGCAGTCACAACTGCGATGTTAGTAAACCATATAAGAAAATGTACTATTTTTTGCTGACTTCTCGTCTTTATCGATTATATGCTTCCGATGCAATGGTAAAGCACATGGGATGACATGTTGAGCATAAAGAAAAACTAGGATATATGCATCATCCCTCAAATTCACTAGCTTAGAAGCACTTCAATAACATAAATGAGTCATTCGCTTCAAAGAGTAGAAATGTTTTGCTTGGTTTATGCACTGATGGGTTTCAGCCATTTGGCCAATCAGGACAACAATACTCATCTTGGCCTATCATTCTAACTCAGTATAATTTGCCGCTTGGAATGTGAATGAAATCAGAGTACATTTCCTCACCATAATAGTTCCAAGGACAAACAATCCAAAGTTTAAGATTGATGTCTTCTTGCAACCTCTTATCTGAAAATTACTTCAACTTTGGAATATTGGTGTTAAGACTTATGATGTTTCATCCAAGACAAGCTTCACTTTAGGAGTAGCTTAGCTATGGACTATTAGTGATTTTTCGGCCTTAGCAATGCTTTCTGGTTGGAGTACAGCTGGACAACTTGCATGCCCACATTGCCAAGTGGAAACTGATGCTTTTTTTAGTCTTCCAAAGTGAGGTAAACAATCATGGTTTGATAATCATCGAAAATTTCTATTAGCAAATCACTTGTGGCCTAGAAACAAAAATTAGTTTAGGAAGAATTGAGTTGTGTCATCCTCAGCACTGAGAGTTAAATTAGGCAAAAAGAGTTTAAAAGAAATAGAAAGATTGAGGTTGATGCGAGTCACAGATATTCATTCAGATGAAATCAATTCTGCAATTAGTAAGATATGTGGCTGGAGAAAACATAGCATCTTTTAGGACTTGCCTTATTGGAAAACCCTTTTGATTCGACACAATCTTGATGTTATGCACATTGAGAAGAATTTTTTTGAGAATTTGTTCAACACTGCCATGATATATAGAAGGGAAAACAAAGGACAATGCAAAGGCAAGAGAAGATATAAAGGATATACGTCATAGACCAGAGCTTAAGTGTAATCCACATGTGGAGAAGTATCCAAAAGCATGTTACATGCTTGATAAACTTGTGAAACAAATCCTTTTGAGTAGCTTAAGGCCATTAGATTCCCTGATGGCTATGTTTCAAATATTGGCCTGTGTGTAGACATGAAGAAGTATAAATTGTTGGGGTTGAAAAGCCACGACTGCTATGTTTTCATGCAGCGCTTGGTATCCATTATTTTTTGTGATTTGTTGCCTGCAAAAGTATGGGAAGTAGTAATAGAACTTTGTTTTTTTAAGGAATTAATAAGTACTGTCTTGCGATAAGAAGATATGGACTGTTTACAATAAGAAATTCGAATTATTTTGTGTAAGCTTCAGCGTATATTCCCTCTAGGATTTATTTGACTCAATGGAGCATCTTCCAAATGAAGCAAAACTTATAGGCCTTGTGCAATATTGTTGGATGTATCCATTTAAGATGTATATTTACATTTAATCCAAAATAAAAACCAAAGTTGCATTTTTTTTGCTATTTATAATTGACTTTAATGCACTTATGAATATACCATAAACATAAAGGCAATACGAAGTTAAAAAAGAATGTGAGGAACAAAGCCAAAGTTGAAGGCTCTATTGCTAATGCATATCTTGTGGAAGAAGCAGCAATCTTTTGTGCACATTACTTCGAGCCTCATGTTTACACGAGATATCGAAGAGTGCCTCGCAATGTGACTCTAATTGAAAGAGAGAAATTAGAAGGAAATTTGTCTACATTCACTCATCCCGGGTGACCGATAGGCAAAGGCCAAAAAAGAATATTAACAGAACAAGAAATTCGCGCAGATCAAGCGTACATCTTGTTGAATTGTATTGAAGTGTCTCCTTTTGTTGAGTGAGTGTAACCACTAATAATGCATTATGATTTATATTATCTTAAAAACACTTTAACTAAAAAGACTGGTTATGGATTCTTCTCGTCCTATGTGACTTTTTATAAGATATATGTATCCTAGCTCAGGAATTCTATTCCAGATATTACAGACAATGAGGTTGATATTAGGCTAGATATGGACTTTGCACGTTGGTTCCACTCGTATGTAAGAATCATAGTATAATTTTAATGTTTTTACGTTTAACAACTTATTGCATTATAAATATGAGCTGAGGCAATGGGAGGAATGGTGGTGCACCTGGATGGGGATCACATACTGGCAGAGAGGTAGAGGTAATGGTACATCTAGTGGTAGAGGTCGCAGTTCGATAGGAGAAGGCTCTAATATTCCTTAAACACAATCTACTCATGAGGCGAGTATAGATCCCAATCATTCAGCCTACAAAAGCATCTATAGATCCTCTTCCACCTTTAGCACCACGTAGATGTTGTGGCAGAGGTCAAGGTAGAGGGGCGACATGTTCAGATGCTAAATTATCAGTGATGGTAGGTTGATTGTCTGGCTTATTGGTGAAAGGTAAGTAATTCATACTTTTTCTTTAAAATTCAAATTTGTTATTTGAATTGTTGTTAAATGGTATGTGTTGCATTTTTTTTTTTTTGAAACAGGCTTTATCCATCTTCTAAATGCTCAAGACTTATTAGAGATAATTTCAAGGAGAGGTTAGATGAGAAAGGAACTAGTTGGAGGACAGTTAGACCTGAGACTAAGGATTTTTATTAGCGAGAATTCCAAGTATGACTTTTCTCAATTATATTTATATATTAAATATTTCATGAGAGTCTATATTTGTATTACTTATACATATAAGTCGCAATCAACATTTTAATATGCAAGTTATGAAATTCTTGAAAAGTGTGTCAGATTTTGCTTTCAGATGTATTGTTAATTTTTATATGCGAACTGATAGTATTTAAGAAACTTGATTACTTGTTCTAAATTTCAGAAACGTTGTGATTGGAACAAAGCAATTAATGCAACCATAAAGATTGCATAGGAAAAACAGGCAGCATTGAGATATTTAGATCTTCTGAGTTGCTTAAAGCATGAGGGAAAGAAACCATATATTAAGGATAATGTTTGGGAAAAGTGGAGTGAATATTGGAAAAGACCTGAGGTTATTTAGAAGTCAGAGCTTTTATCGAAGAACCGCAGGTTATAGAAAGACGGTGAAGGGTTTGGTATGTCTCTCCATACTGGAGGATCCATATCTATGTTAAAGAGCATAAAGAAAACATGGTAATATTCTACTTAATAAAAAAAAACTGCTAGTTCATTATTTTATACTTATATGGCTTATAATTGTTGTTTTGTATTATATAGACTGCAGAGACTAGAAATGAGCATACCTTGGGAAGCTTTTCTATCACCTCCATACAAAAAAGAAAGATAATGTTGATAATAATTTTATTGACAATCGGTCCAAGCGAGTATTTGTAAGTTCGTTAAATTTCACTCTAAACTTCTTGTTAATTAACATGTTGATGCAAGAATGTTTACAACCCTACTTATTGTTAGATAGTATAATATTTATAAATGCTAAATTATAAATATTAATGGTAGGAGGACAACCAATCTTAGATGGATAATACTTCTCAATGCCAGACAGGAGTAGATTCAAAGCAACAAATCCAGGATGATAGAGAAATTTCCATTTAGGCTACAGGAGGATGACGTTGTAGGCAAATATATGATATTAGGACTCAGGCATTGAGTTACTACTCTAGTACTAGTCGATGTTCGCCATCTGCTTCATCACCAGCTGTGGAGATAGTCACACTAGAGAGATTAGTGCAGTAACAGTCTGATATGCTTGAATAGATTCATCAACATCTTCAGATGCGGCCGAGACAGACCTCCACAGCTTCTCCATCTAATTCCACTTATTTTACTGCTCCTTGGTTAGATTTGATCCCTTTCCTGCTGTTCCTCCTACTGCGACAGTTAGGCCTGATGGAAGTTTTGATGCATCTACCATCTGGATTCCATGCTAATCGGATTACAAATAACATAGAGGATGATCGAGATGAGGGCCTTGATCAGTAGTCATCCTAATAAACTAGTATCATCTCTATTTAAACAATTAAAATATATAACTAATGTTGAGAGACCTTTTTTTTTTTCTTCCTTTGTCTTTATAATTTTAATACAGTATCAAACATGTTTGCTGAATTAATATATTGTAGGTGTATTATGGTATGTGGTGTTAATGGAAATTGTTGATTATTATAGGTTTTGATGTTATATTAAAGCAAGTTAATTATGTAAATTTAGGCAAAATTTTTAAATTTTTTTTATGAAATTAGCAACAAAATAAATTCATTTTATTAAAATATATAATAAATTTAAAGATAAAAATAAAGATAATTTACCCTCAAAATAGTGATAAAATAACAATAAAATAGCGACGAAATTCCAATAAATTACCTTCAAAATTTATCTACTTTTTTCAAACAATTACTGACAAAAATTAGAAATTTAGCAACAAAAATTTTATCGCTAATTATTGACAAAATGTATTTTTGTCGATAAAAAATAGTGACAAGCGTTTTATCAATAAAATTGTTTTGTTGCTATTTTGATGTTAAATACTAATTAGCATCAAAATATTATGAATTGGTGACATAATTTTTTGTTGCTAATTTATTTTTTTCTTGTAGTATGTGTTTTGAATTATAGAATGACAAATATTAAAAGCATAAATGGAAAACCAAAAAAAAAAAAAATTAATGCAAGTGTTTTATTAGTATATCAATGTATCTTTTTATAAAAGAAACAAAATTTCATGCAAGTGTTTTATTAGATGTGTATATCAATATGTCTTTGCATTCCTCAAAATGGATATTAAAAAAAAATATTAAAAATAGAACTTTTCTTTTCATACAAGTATAATCTCAAATTTTTACTTTATTAGAAAATTAAGACAATGTTTCAAAAAAAAAAAAAAAAAAAAAAAATAGATGTGTATATCAATATGTCTTTGCATTCCTCAAAAATGGATATTAAAAAAAAATATTTAAAAAAATAGACTTTTCTTTTCATACAAGTAATAATCTCAATTTTAACTTTATTAGAAATTAAGACAATTTGTTTCAAAAAAAAAAAAAAAAAAAAAAAAAAAAAAGGAAATGAGAAGATATTTGTTACAATTACAATAGTGAAGATGAAAGGTAAAAAGCGAAAATTGTCTATTAAGATGGGATGAAAATGAGAATGAGAAATAATACTGTTATAAGTCTTACTATCATTTTTAGGAATAGTGTATGTACATTTTTTTTGTTATAATTTTAGTTGCAGGGTCCATTCCCCATCACGATAATGCCATTAAATAAGTGAAACTATAATTAGAACTGTTGTATTTTCATCGACGTTTTCCATTGTAGAAGTTACATATATATAGCAAAGATACAACTATGTGATAGCTATTTATAAAACTAACCCTATCAAATATTTAAGTTACAAATAGTGTCTATATTTGAAATACAAATATGTGAAATATTATTATGATCCATATTATGCCCCCTCAATTCGAGCTAGGAAGAGATCGAATTGTCAATTTCTCAATAAGAAGTTGATGTCAAAGATGAGCCAAAGGTTTGGTCAACACATCGGCAAGATAATCGTTGGAGGAAACAAATTTAACTTGAAGATCTTTCTGCTGAACCTTATCACATACGAAATGACTTTGAGATAATTCGTTGTAGCACGAAAAATAGGATTGGCAAATAAGTAAGTTGCTCCAATATTATCACATCATAAAATGAGAATGTCGTTGGAGAAGAACCCAATATCTCGAAGAAGAGATTGAATCCATGTAAGCTCAATAGCTGTTAATCCAATAGCACCATCCTCAGCCTCCGAATATCACCGGTTCCATTATAATTGTGACAAGTCAAATAAGAGTAAGAGGTGTGAGTAGTACTACCACTAGGGTTTTGACTAGAAGATTGAGAGAAACCACCACTACATCGTTCATTGAAGTACTAACAGCCACCATGGCCTCCACGCCCTCTATAGGAACTGTTAGATTATTTTAATAATCTGAGTGGCCTATGTGATTAAAGGGCTGGTACTAATTAAGGTAGCCCAAGATGATGGTTATTGAGCTTAATGGATAAGGACCAGTTAGGGTTTTAATATCTTTTCTCTGCCTTATAAAAGATAAAGTAAATCAACAGCTTAGGTTAAGAAAAGAAAACAGAGAGTGTAACGGCTACCTCAAACACATACGGTGGTAGGTTGTTTGAGAGAGCGTAAAAAGAGTGTAACGGCTACCTCAAACACATACGGTGGTAGGTTGTTTGAGAGAGCGTAAAAAGAATACTCCCGTGCTGTTGATAATTCTCTGACCATTAAGAGAGCACTCGTGGACAAAAGGCCAGAGTGAAAAAACGTAGATCTACTATTACGGTGAGAATCAGAATTGCCGTAACGAGGTAATCAATACTATGGATCAAGGTACGCTTCCGCTTATTGTGTATGCTTATTAAACAAATTCTATGAACAATAAGATCTAGGCTATTTTAAAGTTTATTCAACAGGAACGACCACCTCGATTAGATGCTGCTAAATGAGCAGTAGGAGGAACAATAACACTAATAGTCGACGAATCAAGTTTCAATTGTGTTTCTTCACTGAGTAACAAAGCATAGAGTACATCAAAAGAGATGGAGGCGTTGCGAGCCTCAAGTGCATGAGTAAAAGGACAAGAATTAGGTTCCAAATCCTTAATAACATCATAAACAAGTGACTCCTCAGAAATAGGAGTTTGCAATACTACTAATTGATCAAAGATAGGCTTTGCTCTACATATATAAACATCAATAGTATTCGTTCCTCTAGAGAGATGTTTTAATTGCTTCTACAATTGTTGAATCTAAGTTTGAGAACCATAAGAGTAAATTGTAGCAAGTTTTGTCCAAGCTTTTTTAGCACACCAATAATTTGGTGTAAAATGGATTCAAAAATTAAGAAAAAGAACCAACTTAGAACAAGTTGATCTTGACAAAACCAGGATAAATAATCTAGATTAGGAGCACCAGTAGGAAGCGTTTAGGGAGGAATAACAAAGGTAATCATTAATATGACTAGCTAAATTATAAACATGGAGCAAAGGAAACATCTGAGCTTTCCAAGCAAATAATTTGATGAGTTTAATTTAATGGACAAGAACTGAGCCACATTTGGATTTGGGGATGAAGAGATAGAAGAGGAAGAGGAAGAAACAAGGGCTTGTTTAGTAAACATTGCCAATAGTTGTTATTAGGCTTTAGTTAGGCTCTGATACCATGAAACTATAATTAGAACTATTGTATTTTCATTGACGTTTTCCATTGTAGAAGTTATATATATATATATATATATAGCAAAGATACAATAATGTGATAGCTATTGATAAAACTAACCTTATCAGATATTAAAGTTACAAATAATATCTATATTTAAAATACAAATATGTGAGATATTATCTTGATCCTTATCAATAAGTAGGAAATAAGTAAAATGGATAAAAAAAACATAATTTGTATTATATTAATGTGTTTGTTCATTCCTCAAGATGCTTTTATTAATTGTGTGTGTAAAACATATTTGGTTATTTAAATCTCTAAATATGACTCTTGAAGAACAAGTGCAAAAATTATGTCTTCTTTAATTAATTGTAGAAATCTTGTTGGTTTAGATTATGGCTTCACAAATTGATTTCATCAATAAGGTGAAGCAAACAAAAATGCAGCGGAATTTGAAAGTGTGTGTGGTGTGATTGTGGCAGGTTCTAGTACGTGATATTCTCTCTTAAGATGGCTCTACAGGATGGGAAGGGTTTTTATTAAATCTCTCTTTATATATTACATTTTATCTTTTGATATTTGAATATGATATTTGAATTTAATGGTATTTGAATGATATATGTCAATGATATTTCTGAAGCTAACTAAAGTAATTTATGTGTTTGTACATATATGACCATTTATACTACATGTTGTCTTTTATATGCTTCCTAATTTATCATTTATTCATATGTTGATTTTTTTTAGGAGTTTGTATAGTTGTACATATTGAGAAATCAAAACAATCTCTTTAATATATATGTCTATCAATTTGTTTGATTTTTTGACATGTTATGGAACGCAATAATATTTTTAATATTTATATTTATCCATTTAACTTATCTCTTTATATTTAATATTTATATTTTGAATGTTTGTACAGATTGAGAAATTTATTTTTTTCGTAATAGTTCATCTTTGATTTTAGGAAGATCATATTCATGCAACAATTGGTAAAATGTTATTAGTTTATTCAAATCAAAGATACACGAGCTTGGATTATTTTTCATTGAAAAACTTTATAATTGGACCAAATAGTTTGATACTATAATGGAACAAGGTTGATCATCACAAGACTTGAGAATCAGGTTATTGAAGCTAAGGGTTTATCAGGAAATTTGGCTAGAGAAAAGTCTTAATCCCAAGAATGACGTTGACTCTATGTGATGCAAGAATACATTTTAAATCTCAGTGAAGGCAATTTCCTATCATATTATCTTTTGCCATGACTATTAATAAAAGTCAAGGCCAATTATTATCTCATGTCCAGTTATTTCTGAAGAGACTAGTGTTTACACATGGACAACTTTAATGTTGCTCTTTCAAGGGTGACAAGTAGAAATAAATTGAAAGTTTTAATTTATGATGATGAGGGAAAAATTACAAATGTAGTATATAAAGAAATTTTTCATAATCTAATTTAAACAGATAGTTTAATTTGTATTTTTTAACTAAATAAAATTATTTATTATTTTTTGAATGATGTTATTTTTGAATTATGTTATAGAGATTATTTCATCCTTTAATATTTCTTATAACATCAAGGTTCATGTTTTTGAGATGGTTTTATGAAGGAAATTGATAAACCATAAAGGTCCAGCAAAGTACCCATCAAGAATCCATAAGTACGTGGGTTGATTCATGCATAGTGGCTAAGCCATGTTTTTATCTACTGCTGATTAGGAATTGCTGTAGAATAAGTCAATTAGTATTTGATTTTTGTTGATTTTATTTGTTGAGTAAATCTTTGCTATTTGTTACGTCGTTCTTGATTCCTTAAAGTTAGGAAAGTAATTCAGTTTTATCTTTTATTTAAACTCTATGTATCTGCAGTAATGATGTAGGAAAAAAAAATCAATAAACTACTCCAAT